TTCAATGTATGAAAAATACGTTAAGAAGAAAGAAATCAAAGAAATTCGATAGTTTTTAGAGAGAATTTCTTTAGAATAATATAAGGAAGATTAAGCAGATGAATTAAATAACCAATCATAAATACCAGAATAGCCAGAGTACTTAGAGGTTGATGAAGATACTAACCCACCTTCGCAATACTATATGGATGAGAGAATTTAATAAATGAAAAAAGCCTCACAAAATTCTCAGGATTATTATTAGTAATCTAACTAATATTACTAAAAATAGCAGCATTCAACTTAAAATTAAAAGTCATCACAAAGTTAGTAATAAATGCCTAAAAATTATAGCGAATTTTAATATGGTTATCCATAAACGATGGATATTTAAAATTCTAGAAGTCCTCATGTAAATCCTACGAATTATTAAGAATAGCTGAAATAAGGATCGCCTTCAACAAGTACACCTTAAAGGCCATTTACAGCAACACAGAATTTTCAATAAATTCCTAATCAATACAATTATGAATAAGCGAAATAATAAATGCCTTTAAGGGTAGAAGAAAACAATGAGAGATACAGATAATCTAATTATTATGAGTAAATTAAGCAGCCTATGCCTTTAAATGTTAGTTCCTAACAAAGAGTAGTTGGTACCTATTAGGTCTCAAGATCAAGTGCAGCTAATCATCAAATGAAACCTTTAAATAATAGTACCCATGACAGAGAGGAAGTAAATTATTAGGGATATGAATCACCTAATAATTATTAAGGATAGGTAGAGTATGCAAAAAGGGTTGCTTAAGAAAGGAGTTAAGCATATTCTCCAAATTTCAGAACATCATAGGCAGATTAACCTCCAATTGTGTATGAGAGGGATTAAGGTGCTGAAAATTTCAAGCTATCAAAAGATCTTAAAATAAAGAATAATTTATAGATAAGGATTAAGGAGAATTTAAGAGAAAAAGGAAAATAAATATTTTAAAAGAATTAATATTTCTCTCAGCAAGATTACGATTAATTTGGAGAAGATAAGTAGATTTTGTTAAGATGTTATAAATCTTTTAGATTGACATAGTACGACTTTTATGAATAATTCTTGGAGAATTACATTTAAAACTAAATGCAAAGAATGTCAAACCTTCAGCAACTAAAGTTTAATAATAATTTTGTAAATGAAGTTAATGATTATTCAAGACTGTTAGTGTCATATTTGATGCAATATTAATTAACTGCAATGGAAACCTCGAAAACCTCTAATATGTCAGGAGTATGGAACTAAAAAATCAAACATCATTCTGCCGATCCAAGATTTCAAGAATTGTTTAATTAGAATTCTGAAGAGATAACCTTAATCAAAAAATGCCTTCCTTTGAAACAAACCGGATCTATTTTGAGTTTTGAACATAAATCGATTTAAGAATTTATTTATGCAAAATTTATCATTATTAATCTTTTAAGGATTAGTGAAATAATTAATTTGATCAAATAAATGAAAGTAGATGTTTTCTTAATGAATTAGAGTAAAAAGTTGAAAAAAATAGAATTTATATCAATTTGTATTAATCTATTTTTAAATTAACGACTGGATACATTAGAAAATTAGGAATAAGCAAGAGAGATATTTATGTAAAACTTTATGTCAATCTTTTAATTTTAATAATAGGTTTATTTCGATTGCTACAATTATATAATGGAATTAATATCTTTAATAGATTTTTCCCCATTAAATTATGTTATTATGGCAAATTAATTTTATATGGGAACAACAAGATTTATAGTAGAATATATATAAAACAATACGGATTTAAAGTCAGTCTTACATATTTTAGTTTTAATCTCAGGAATATCCTTAAAATTCGTGAATATTAGTTCAAATTCCTTTTAATTACTATCTTATATGTAGGAATTATTCTATGAAAAGAATTTTTCTGGAATTTATATAAAAGACATTAAGTTATTAGGATTAAAGTGTATAGGATGTGATTTTAGTAGGTCAACATTTGAGAATGTGACTTTGATGGGGACAAACTTAAATTATTGTAAAATAGCAGAAGTTAAGTGGAAAGACATAATCTCATAGGATTTACCAACTTTATCATTTAATATTGGCCCTATATTAAAAGCATCATTCTCCATTGATGGTAACTACATAGCATCTCTAGGACTTAACAAATAGTTAGTTGTATATTAGATAGGTGCTGAATAGGTAGTACAAAATGTTGAACTTACAAAAGAAGTAGTTGATTTTTGTTGGTCTAACACCAAATCTATGCTTGTATATTTCTCTGAAGAAACTTTAAATATCATGAGCTTTTATCAGGAATTATAAAATAGGGTAAATTATGGTTAGAGAGATTAAAATGAATAAAGAGGTTAGCCTATCAAATCAAAACTGAAAATAGGAGACACTGTTAATTTGGTAAAATTTTCAAATTAAGACAGTTATCTATCAGTAGGATGTTAAAAAGGTAAAATAATTATTTATAAATATGCTAATTCGCAATTTACATAATTTAGAGAAATAATAGGAGTAGGAAAGAGTAGAATAACAGTATTTGACTTTTCTCCTGATGAAGATAACTTGATAGTTTGTGATCAAACTTCAATATTTTTATATAAAATATAAGAAGAATAAACTAAATCTATTAGAACCTTATAATAAAACCAATAAGTAACAAGTATTGTTTTCAGTCCTGATGGGTAACTGTGTGCATATGCGACAACAAATGAATTGATAATAATTTTTAGCTTAGTAAAATAAAAGGAGTAAGCTAAATTAATTGGTCATTAAAAGGCTGTTAGATGTATATGCTTTTCTAATGAAGGGAATATATTGGTAAGTGGTGGAGATGATAAGAGTGTTAGGATATGGGATTATATGAAAGGAATTTAAATTGGGGAGAATTTGCATAGTCATTCTGATGGTATTAATAGCATTGAGTTTTCGAAACCAGATGGAATGATTATTATGTCTGCAGGAAAGGATGGACTTATTAAATAGTGGCATCACTCTGATAACTATCGTGTTAGTGAATATTTGCCTGGGCATGATGGCAGCATTTTATTTATGATTATATCTTAGGATTCCTAAAGAATAATTACAAAGGGTAAAGATAAGAAAATAATATAATGGAACATTAAAACAGCATCTATGGTTAATCAAGTAATAACTTTATAGAGTTGTTAAGAGTGTTCAATTAATAAATTATGTTCTGCCTGTTAATTAAGTCCTATCATAATTGTTGATTATGATCAATATATTATCACAGGTGGATTTGGTCACTCACTTTCAATATATGATAGCTACACTGGTAAATAAACATTTCAAACACTATCATGTCTAAAGCCTAAAGGAGAAGTCACTCATTTAGCATATTCTTAAAAAAATCATTTCATATGTTCAGGAACTTAGAATGGCGAAATTAAAATATGGGACAGTCTTAATGGAAGATAGTATAGTAAAAATATCACTCTAAATCATTAAATATTAGCTTTGTTTTTTGATCTAGACTAAAATCTAGTAGTTTTAAATTAATCTGGAAAATACACTAACTTTAAACTTGGTTCAGGAGATACAAAAACATAATCCTTCTAATATGAATTAATGGATGAAGCATCAGAAATAAAACAGATAAATTAATTGATTGTTGATGAGATTGCTGATTAATAAATTGATACATCATAGAATTCTTCATAAAGATCCAATAATAAAGTCTCATGTTTAGCACTCACATCAGATTATTCTCATTTGGCGATCGCAACCAAAGCCTCAAATGTCTACATTCTAGAGACTAAAGACTTGTCAAAGATATTTTCCACATATTCTTATTAGGGTGTAATTACCTCAATGCATTTTAATAAAATTGATTTAATTTTAATACTATCCTTTGAAGATCTTTCTATAAAGGTTTGGGATATATCAAAGAATATGCATGGGAATAAAATTGATTGTCACTAAGCTCCAATTAATTGTTTAGGAGCATCTTTGGATAATAAGTTTATTGTTTCTACATCTTTAGATAAATGTATTAAGATTTGGAAATTGTAAAATTTAAGTGATGATGGAATCTTTTCTGAAGACATTAATCGTTTAAAAAAGAAGATACAAAGTTAAAAGTAAACTCACAAAGAATCTTTTTAAAAACTCAATTTTAGCCCAATAAATCAAATTAGTTAAGATATTGTAAGACTTACAGATAATTTGGAGTGGATGAATTTGGTAGAGGAGCGTTAGCTAAGGATTTTTGACAAAGTAGAATAGATGTATCATCATTTATCTGAATTAAGAAGGGTTGACATGAGTGCTACATTAAGAGAATAAAAAACGTTAAAGGATGAAATAACAAAAGAAGGAGAAGAAATTGAATAGTTACTATATACGAGTGATGAAATGATTTAATCGTTTAGTTAAAATATGATCGATATCACTACGAAGTGTTTTACGGTATCACAAATACTTTAAGAAAGATTACTACTGAAATAAAACGAACTTAAAATATTTAAAGAAACATTGATAAAAGAGAAGGAGGAAAGAAAATAAGAAAAATAACATGTTTCAGAAGTTAAGGTTAACTCCTAAAATTAAATAACTTTCTCTGAAATATTATGTATTAATAAGACTCCTTAGAATTAAAAGTTTATTGGAACAGTTTTTGAAAAATCCAATATTAGAAATAAGACTAACCATGATTTGTTTAAGCTTTGGTAATAAACATAAGAGAAGAAAAATCATTATTGAATATCGTTTAAGATAAATATAAATATTATTATTTCTTATCTACTATTTCATATTTGATTGTATTGTATATTCTCAATTTTATAATTTATTTTAATTTTAGCATATAAATATAAAATGAAGAGTTTATTATATACAATTATTTTTATAATATTATTCGTTTTGCTTCTCCAAAATTTTGGTTGAACCAATTTAGATTTTATTGCAGACTAGAAATATACTATAAGAACTATATTTTCTAAGTATAGCTTCTCAAAAATGCATAATTTAAATTAATTGAATGAAATAAACACATATTTTCTTCATATTGATATCATGCAATGTAGTTTGTAATCTTGCTATGTCAATCATTGCACCATTTTACCCATAATTTGCTAAATCTAAAGACCTTTCTGAAGATATCATAGGTATTGTTTTTGCAGCTCATCCTTTGGGACAGTTTATTTCTTCCTTGATTCTAGGAAAAGTAATAACCCATGTAAAAAATATGCTAATCATAGGATAATAGATAGAAAATAATGGTTATTGGCATATTCTTATAAGGGGTAGGCTTGTTCTTTTTTGGTTTGTTATACTATTTTGATCCTTATTGGGTAATTCTAATAGGAAGTTTTACTGCTAGATTGATTGGTGGAATAGTATTTATATCATGAAATAAACAATAGGGTGCATCTATGTTTATGACACCATTTTATGCATTTATTCCTTAATTATTTCCAAAATCAATTGAAGAAAAAATAGCAATAGCAGAAGTCTCAACCTCTATTGGATTCTTAGGTGGTCCTATATTGGGTTCAGCTTTATATCAGTTGGGTGGGTTTGTATTACCTTTTTTTTTCTTTGGTGGGTGTTCATTTGGGTTAGCAATAATTCTAATAATTTTTTCTAAAAGTTTGGATGTGCCTGAAGTAGATCTTAGTTAATCAATCATATTACATTAATCTATATAAAACTAAGAATCAATTATAGATGCAGGTTTTAGTATATCATATCTCTCATTACTTTTCAATTACCCAGTCGTAATATCATTTATTACAAATACTTTAACGCTATCGCTATGGACATTTTATAATCCTACGATAGCTATTTATTTTTTGGAAGAATATGGCATTAAAGAAGAATATTCTGGATATTGGATATCAATAAATGCAGGAACATTTGGATTTTCTACTCTATTCATATCTAGGATAAAATCCCATAAAAAATTTTATATGTATTTTGGTCTGGTAATCAGTGGATTATTGCAATTTTATATGGGTCCTGACTATAAGTTCACCAATTTACATCCAAAATTTGTGTATACAATAGTAGCCTGGTCATTAGTTGGATTTACTGGAGGATTTCCATATGTACTGACATTGCCTTAAGTAGACTAAATTCTTAAAAAAGACTATTTTAAATATCCGACACAATGTGCAAATATAGCATCTGCAGTGTATCTAAATAAAAATATGAAAGTTTTAATGCCAGTTTAGCCGGAGGAGAATTGCTTGGTCCAATTATGGGAGGTTATCTTACAAAGTGGTATGGATTTCAAAGGTCGGCATCATTATTAGGCTTTGCTGTTCTGATATGTTGTGCTTGTTATGTGCCTTATTTATTTTACTTGGATGAGAAGCTTGCCAGAACAAAAGCAAATAAATTAAAAAAAGCTGGTTTAAAAGAATGAAAATATAATTTGTTTTAGATATTTGATAATACATTTTAAACTAATCACAAATTAATTTTTAATGAGATGAAGCACCTTATTTATGTAAATCATTCATTAAATGTTTAATCCGTAAGCATGAACCAAGATTTTCCTGATACTAATAGAAACTGAAGTTATTTCTTATTGGTAGATCTTAAGCGTCTATAAGATGAGCAATCTAATTAATCTCTTTAACATCATCTCCTCCAATTACAACATCTATCAAGAATGGTACATTTTGACCCATTATTAATCCTAAATAATCAAGATCTTACTAATAATAATATTTATTTATAATAATTTGACATTTATTTAATTATATTATTATTGATTAAGAAGAAAATTACATAATGTGTAGTTCATTTTGGAGGTTATCTGATGTGTATGTCTTTCAAACTTTTAAAAAAGCAAGGATTTAATCTGTATAAGTAACTGTTGACCTTTTCGACACCTTCAACTATAAGTAATTCATAATCTGGCACCTTTCCTGCTTTGGAACATGGAAGCTACAGAATAGTCTCTCCATATTTATTAAACTACTATATATTTGAATTTGAAACTTTTGTAAAATTCTTTGTTAATTCACATTGCTAAATTATAGGCTTAAAGGCATTTAGGTTCACAAATATGGGAATGAAGCAAAAATCAATAAGTGATATTTAATCTCCATTCATATATTTTTTGTCCTCTAACCATCTTTCTACTTGTGCTATATTTTGTTTTACTAATTCCTTGTACTTAAAGAATCTCTTTTAATATATAAAATTATTACTTCCTCATCAAAGCTAAAAAAAAAAATAGACATATTTTTCATTAGTTCACTTGCATATTCAAATTTGCCTCTGTCTAAGGCTTTTTATATTGGATCAGATGACATAATTTAAGGCAGTGTTATTTCATCGATATACTCCATTATTGCGTCAGATTCAAATAAAACAACTAAGTTACATGATAATTTATTATATACTGTCATCTCCGATTATTAATATTGGTACTTTAGATAAAGGGCTAATTTTTACAAACCATTCAGGTTTGCAATGCATCTCAATAAATTTTATTTCGAACTTAATGTTTTTGTGACACATTAAAGCAAGCACTCTCATGCTATAGGGGCATAATTTAAAGGTAACTAGTGTGTGTTTAAGTTTTTACATCAAATCTTAAATTAATTTAAGAATAAATTTAATTACGCCAAAAGAATTTCTGAATTCTTTACTTTAATATAAAAAAAAACATCACATTTTTATGGAGAAAAATTCTTACTTAGAGGACTATTTGGCATATTCCTATTTACAAAATCTTCACGACTTGTCATAATAATTAATTTTAATGACCCTAAGCAATTAATTGATATCTTTTTGCAATTTCTAAAATTCTTGAATCATAATCCTTCAATTTTGATTCTGAATAAAAATTTAATGGGAATTAGTTTATTAATTATCCTTTTCATTTGGATATGTTGTCTGATAACACTTAGGAAATGGATAAGAATTATAACTATAAAAAGTTTAATATATAAAAAATAACAAAAAAATATGAAACGTCGTCCCCAAAGTGCCATAATAACTAAACTGATAAGAGAGAGATAAGAATCAGCAGTAAATACGTAAGATTACGATTCTAAAAGAGTTCTTAAATGATCTACTCTAAAAAGCAAACTCCATAACAAGTAGCCCCAAAAGAGTATTTTGAAGATTAAGAACAATTGTATTTCGTGAATTTGTAATTGAAATAATAGTGTAATGAGATTAAATAAGAAAATTAAAAACTCAAAGCCTACATAGCTCAATTAAAAGTATGGAAATATATTTAGCATAGAAATAAATTGTGAGGATTGAGAAGGTAGATAAGTATTAAGTAAACTGTGATCCTCTTGGAGTAATATAGAGTGGAGAAGGGAGCATAGTACCCATTTTGAAAGCTAAAGTAAAGGAATAGCGTAATTAAATTGAAGAACTATAAACTGATTTGCATCAATAGTATAAGTCTGTTAAATTGACAAAATTATCAGAGTTGTAAAGAGAAATTTAGAATTAGTAGAATGAAATAATGAAACTCAGATAAGTGATTTAATCTGCCCTCAATATTACTGATTAAGAGTAAAAATATTATATAAAATAACAAGTTTGGTTAATGATCCAAATGTAATTGAAAAGTTATCAAAATTTACAATAACTGTACACTAACAAGAGAACTCAATTTAATAATTGATTAAACAAAATGATAAATTAAAGATTGAATATTAGGAAATGTCTAATGATAATGCTAAATTACTTGAGGAAATGAAGTATTTGAATTTTGAGAAGATTAATTACAAAAAACAATTGGAGGAATAAACAATCACTGAGAGTGAGATTTATCAATAAAAGAAAAGAGAGTTCTTGGAAATGAAATTAGCGTATACATCTGAATATATTTATAGTGCTACATTGAAGTAATTGGATACATTAAAGGGTGAGTTGTCCTTGTATGAGAATAAGTCCAAATCGCTATAGAAGTAAATCAAAGATTAAGAAAAAGAGTTTAAATAGAGTACGATGGAATTACAGAAGCAAAAATAAAATTTAGAAGATTAATGCAATAAAAAGGATATAATGATGTAATTTAGCTTATTATTTTAGATAAGACCTAAATGATAGAATTAATATCTTGGATTTATTAAAACAAAAAAACTCTCCTAAACCCTCTGAGTCTCCCCTTACTCTATAACACAAAAAGTCTTTCTCTCCTCCCACAACATATAGAGATGAAATGACTTAATTCCCAGAAAATCAATCATCAGATATTAATTCGGATGCTAATTGTAGTCCTATTAATAAGAACCAATTAGAAGTCTTATTTTAACAATTAAAATTCAAGATCCTCTCTTAAAAATTAACAAAGGAAAGGATACATTTTACATTCCATAATAAAGAATTCATATAATTAGGAGAGGCAATCTAAGTTTTTATGAATGCACCCTATAACTTTTAGAAGTCCGATTCAATAATACTTTGTAGATATCTGATTGGAGAGGATCAAGGATTCTCTAATTCTTTATAATTTTAGGATACATAAGAAGTAAGAGAAATTATAGATCAACTTTATAGTCATCCTAAAATAAAATCTGAATATGTATATCTATATAAAATATAATAGTTGACATTTCAGACAATCTTGAAATAGAATTACTACTCAAAATTAGTAAATTAAAAATTGGTTTAATGCAACATACCAAGTAAAATATACAATCGAGATGATTTTATACTGCTATTGAAAAACAACTTTAATTTCACTTATGAGCAAATAGACTATATGTTGATGATGAATTATTTATATTCGAATGAAGTCGATAATATCGATATCAATGTTCTCAGAAAATTTATATAGCAGGAGTGTGATCTCTAAGCAACACTTCATAATTTAGCATATGTTTGTCAGGAATCTATTCGATATATTCCAAAGAAGATCAATAAAGTTTCATATTCAGATGATGATTAATCTAATTTTCCAATAGTTGAAAGTAAGGATTTGAAATCTGTCTAAACACAAAGAGATGATTCAAAAATTGAAATGAGACCACCTGAATTATCAAATCAAGTATAAAACATCATTACAAGTGAACAATACTTAACATTCTCATGTATAATTTAATATATTTCAACATTAGAATTTAAAAACTCTGATTAATAACTCAAAAGTTCGGAATCTAGAAAACCAAGCAATCATAATAACAATAGTGATATCTTACAATATAGTCAATCATTACTACCTTAGGCTACTTTAAAAAGACCATCAGAATATTAATAGATCACATCAGATAACTCCATTCACTTTAATATTACAAATTAATTCTAGTCTCCTTAATAAAATAAGAAAAGAATAAATTAAATAAGTGAATTTTAAACAGGAAAAGAGATTGTTGATTAAAGGAATATCCAATACAATGTTGATAATGATACATAAATTACTGATGTCAACAAAAAAGAGGATGAGTATTATGAGGAAATCTAGGAGGAATATATAGAAGAATTGTGATAATTATAAAGTAATAAAATTTATTTTGATATTTTAATTAATAAAAATGAATGTTTATTGTTAATTGGCTGGGTATCATTAAGGTATTTATCACCCATGTAGTAATTAGATGAACCCTTGGAATTAATATGTCTCAACCCTGAATGCATTTCCAACAATAAAGTTCTTAATTGTATTGCCTGCATAGAGGAAAGTCATTCTGGTCATTCTGTCATTCATTATAAGAAATTTATAACTCTTTTGTAAAAATAAGGAGCCCATCTATTGAATGAAATTGTATGAAATATGTTCTAAGTTCAAGGATTTTAAATTGCAGGACTCTACCAATAGTCAAAATGATATGTTAAGTAAAATAAGAGAAATAATTAAACAACTAACTGAATTATAAGATATTGTGAATGATGCCATTAATAAATAGAAGGATATGCTGGAGAGAAAATTGTAATACTATGAATGTATTAATCAATATATAAAATAAGAATTTGCAAGTCTGTTACCAACACAAGAGATATTTAATTAAGCAATTAAGTAACATGATTAGAGTCTGATATAAAAGTTGATGACCTAATTCTTTTTGAAGGTTGACTACAACTCAAAGAGATAAGAATTTGTTGCAAGAAACAACTACCTCATTGATCAATCAGAGGAAACAGAGGGAGAGAACATCCTGTTTAGAAAACTCAGAGAATTCATTAATTCATTTAGATAAGACATAGACAATAATTATTTGTTATAAAACTCTTAGTTGAGTACCAGTTTCAAACAAAAGAAGCTCTCCTAAACAAATAATGAATTCAAACGCTCTCATCAGAGAATTGCAAGTTATAAGAGAGTAGTATCAGCTGAGAAATCTCCAGGCTCTCCAGATGATAGGATATCTATCACCTAATCCCTCAGCTAATTTTATTACAAACCAAATGCAGTTTAGAAAAGAGTAGGAGAATAAGTTTAATTAATTGAAACATAGAATGCATTTACTTCAACGTATTCATTTCATCCTGAATGCTTTGGCTAAGGATTACAAATGACATCCAAACAAATTAAACTAACTACTGATAATGAAAAAAGAATGGCACTCATTAAACCTTCAATTTATGGAAGTGGATTGGCAAGAGAATAACGAATCACACTAGTAATCAAGGTTTGCAGAAATTCCAATTAAAGATATCCTATGGCAGTTGGAATATGTGATTAATAAAAGTTACAGGAAGATAATTTTATATTTTCTGGTTCTGCTGAACATGTTTCAGCCTCGCATAACAAAGATCATGGATGCTACCTTTTGAATGCTAATGGACATATAAGATCGATGACTGGATAGGATATGTCAAAGAGTTCTCCAAACTTAAGATTTTATAGTAACTCTACACTTGAACTAACTTTCAAGCCATTCCATAAACAACTAATAATAAACAGAGATTAACAGGTCTAAACCACAATACCATTGGAATTCTATAAGGATCAAAAACTGTTCTTTTGTGTAAGATTGGCTGATTTGAATGACTGCATAGAAATTTAATGATATTATAGTATGCAATATTATAAAAAAAGTTTTGTTTAAATAATTACTTCTTTATAAAATCATGCTTTTCTCTAATTTACTCTATCAATTTTATGATTGAAATTTCCCTTAAAATATGGTTGAATATTGTAATATAACATTAATGTCAAAGCGTCTTTTGTGGCTAATAAAAATCGTTGAGTAGATCCCTAAATTAGATAGGTTAACTTCTATGATTTCAGTACTCGACTTGTACATTCAAACACATTTTTATATTGAACAGGTGAATGATTAAAATTAAGAGTGTCAGCCTTCATCATGAGCATTATTTTGAAAAAAGGAAAAGATATAATATGAGATACAAATGTTAGGAGTTAGACCCAAAACAATCGACCAATAAATGGAAGAGCATCTGTAATATCCTTAGTACTATCGTAAAATCCAAATTACAGACCTCTGAACACTACAACAGGGGAAATGCAAGCACTAAACCCCTTATAGTATCCTAATATGCCATCATTTTTAAAAATCTCAACTAGACATTCTCTCCATGTTAGATCAATTCTTTTTCCGACTTTTTATAAATATTTAGTTCTCTAAGACACAAATTCGTATGGATACATAACCAACATCGTTGAAGCCCCAGCTAGACTCCCAATGAGTATATTCTTTAAGTGTTTATAATCATTTACTAAATTACGACATAAGATTACTTTTCTTTTGGAAAACTTTAGAATAGGCATCTTTAAAAGCAAAAGCTAGTGATTGATGAGGAATATAAGTTATTGCTTGAGGAATAACCCCTCTCCAAATGACCAAATAATTCTTACATAAGTTATTCATATATACTTTTTATTCCTTATGTAGAATGGTCCTTGGAAAATTTTCGATGGATGTACAACAAAAACTTGAAATAAAAGAGGACGTTGTGGCAACAAATATATCAATAACGAAATCTGTCATAAAAATTATTAATTTAGGATTTAGAAATAGGATTTAGTAGTTGGATTCTAATTTCTATATATTAATTTAAATTGATCAAATTTTTCATTGAAATTAGACTAAAAATTCCTCTGCATTATATATTTTATTTCCACCGTAAATTATCACTTTATTTATGCTTTTAGCAAAGTCACTCAACTCAGCATATTCATTATAACAAGCTCCTTCAGTAAAGCATACCAAAATGCCTTTGATAGTGGACAATAAACCGAATTCTAATCTCTAAAATAGAATTGAGAATTACTGATATATTCTTAACTCTGGAATCATACATGGTCAAAATTGATTATAGTTCATCAATTTTCAATTCGTTTAAAAATAGGTTTTCTAACATTTACACAATTGAAGACTTCTTTCCTAATATCAAAATAGGATTAAACATTTACTTTACAATAAGTAATTTTAAAAGTTTTTCAATAGACCCTTTCCAGAATTAGGTATTTTGGATGTGATGGCAGCAAATAAGGATTTATATACGCTTTGTTATTTATTGTTTTAATTGGATGCTACTCTTTATTTAAAATTAGTAAGAATGTTCAAATATTTTTCATTTTTAATTTAAAACACCTATTCAAATTTTTTAAACTCTTATTAATTATAATTGTTTAATAACATTAGAATCAATAATCTGAGTTTATCGATTTTCCTTAGATTGCTCAAACTTGATTATCCTCTGATTGTGGATAATCATTGACAGTCACAGTTTCATTTTATAAGATACTTTATCCCAATTGATAAAATTTATCCAGTGACTTTTATTTGGCAATTTAAGTCAATTGTTTGGCTAGATTAATGTGTGAGTCAACCATCTTTTTTTATTGATTCATTTATGGTACTAAATCAATTGCATTGAGAGCACTTGAAATTTCTTGATTTTGTTATGACACCTATTAATATTGAGTGTTCCAATCATTTAATTCATTATCAATTTTATCGATTGCATCAGGCAAAGCCATATTACAGGCTTAGAGCCATAAATTATCATATTAAGGAGAGAGATCATATACTTGATCCTCCAATTTAACTTTATTGTATTTGATATTGAGAGTATCATGTAGCAATGCTCCATAGGTGTTTGAATGCATTATTAAAGTGTTTAGATCGATATCTCTGTCTGGTAATATGATAGCTAGCAGAGGGTAATCAGAATTGAATTCAAATTATTTGAGTTTTTCAATCAATTCTTTAGCAATTTGTTCAATTTTAGAATTCTTTTGGAAGAGAATCAACGGTTAGACTTTAAGAGCCATGATGATAGAAAACAATCCAGTTACAACTTGATTTTCTAGATTAAAGAAATTATGATTGAGAGCAACAAAGTCAAGATTGTGTTCGTATACTTTTTATATTTTTTAGACAGCCCCACTAATTTTGCTAAGTTCTTTGGCCATGTATTCTAGTAAAGTGTTTTCAACAGGAGATGAGAAATTAATGAACACTTCTGAATAAAGATCTCGATTAAAGTCTTCAACCAATTTTTCTATGCTAGCTTGTATTGGTTGTATGAAATAAAGTGCTGTGACTCCGTGTAATCTCTCTCGATTTTGGTCAAGATTGAAATGAAGAGTAATGCACATTTCTCTCAAATCTCCGACTCTGTAAATAGTGGACAATCTTTTTTCACAGTAGGAATCATAACAGAGTATTTTCCATGGAATTCTTATATCTGGCTTAAGGATTGGAGTCAAGGCATCTCTTTAGGCTTGAATAAGTGACGTGTTTATTTGCATTTATAATTAATTTATTATATATATATACAGACATTTATAATAATTATTCATTCAAATGATTACATGTTTGATTTGTACGTACTATGAGTGATGATATCTTTTTAATAGTGTGTGCGTAAAGCGCAAAGAGTATTAAAAAATTATTAAAATTAATATTTCTAATGAAAGCAGCCTACATTGTCTCTGCAGCTAGAACACCCATTGGTTGTTTCTTAGGCAAATTGAGTAAGGTTAAGGCAACAGAACTTGGAGCCACAGCAATCAAAGGTGCTCTCTCACAAGTCTCAATACCATAAGATGCCATAGATGAAGCTATTTTAGGAAATGTTTGTTCAGCTGGAATTGGCTAGGTATCTATTGATTATTCATGAATAGGCTCCTGCCAGATAAGCAGTGATCAAGGCTGGATTACCATCATCTACTCCATGCACTACAATCAATAAAGTATGCTCATCAGGAATGAAATCAGTTACTTTTGGCTCTCAAAGCATTCAATTGGGTTAATCCAATATAGTCATAACTGGTGGTTTCGAATCAATGTCCAATATTCCTCATTACATCAATGCAAGACAACCACTTAAATATGGAGATGGCAAATTGTTAGATGGTTTAGCCACTGATGGTTTGTCTGATGCTTACAGCAATGTAGCTATGGGAGTCTGTGCTGAGAAGACAGTCAACGATCTTAAATTAACTAGATAATTACAAGATGACTATACAATCACTAGTTATGAAAGAGCACTTGAATCCATCAAAACTGGAAGATGGGCACATGAAATCACTCCAGTCTAAGTCTCAAAAAATGAAGTAGTCACCGAAGATGAGGAGGTCAAAAGATATTAAAAAGAGAAAATTCCAATTCTTAACCCAGTTTTCGCCAAAAATGGAAGTGTAACAGCTGCCAATTCAAGCAAAATCAATGATGGAGCATGTGCCATTATTTTGGCATCAGAAGAAGCCTTGAAAAAATACAATTTGACACCTTTGGCTAGAATTGTTTCATATGCTGATGCTGAACTCGACCCAATGGATTTCTGCATAGCCCCAACTAAATCATCTGCCAAGGCACTCCAAAGAGCAGGGTATTACTATTCTCTCTATGTGTTAGACTCAAATTAACCAATATTGATTACCATGAAATCAATGAGGCCTTTGCTGCTACAGTCTTAGCCAACATGAAATTATTAGATTTACCATTAGATAGAATCAATGTCAATGGCGGTGCTGTTGCTTTGGGTCATCCTATTGGTATGAGTGGTGCAAGAATCATTTTGTCCTTGCTCACTGTATTAAAATAAAATTAGGGTAAATATGGATTAGCAGGAATCTGCAACGGTGGTGGAGGTGCTACATCAATCATCATAGAAAACTTAAATTGAGATTTATCATCAATAATATAATCAATTTCCTAAAATGTCTACACAAAATAAATAACAATTCTTGATATTTTTATTAATAACTTCATTTTTTAAATTTAACACACTGTCCATTCTCCAATTTTAGATCCTATTCCAATTATTTATTTCCTTAATCAGATTTCACAGTAAATAACTACTCATTTTTCACAAATTCAGGTTTCTCTAATTTTGATTTAATAAGAGCAACAAACAAATCCTTAGTCTCCTTTGTTGCATCAGGAAGTTCATAATGATATATTGCTTTTTGATTTATTTATGCTTATTGATATTATTAGTTAATTATTTAATGTTTCTGGGGAATCTTAGGTTTTTATTATTGCTTTTAGACTTACTTCTATTATTAAATTTAGGGTTGGATTTTAGTGATTTCCTTAGGCTCTTCTTTTGGATATGGTTTTTGCGATTATTTAATATATTGTACATTTTATCTAAAATCCTATTTGAAGTCACTTAAATCAAAGTCATTTAGATCATTAGTGTCTTCATTAGGAGAGATATCAACATAATCTCCATTCATATCAAAGAAGTAAAACTAGTAATTTAAAGATATAAATACTTGACCATCTTCACATTACAATTTCCATCCCAAAGGTTCGCCAGATTTATCATAATAGCATCCATTATTATCAAGAAAGTTGTAATCAGCATCCAATTTGGTAATATTTACTTTCTGTTAGTGTTTTCCCAACTTCGATGGATCTCTTTTGTAAGGAACAAAGAATCCATCTAAGTTGTAAAAGAAAGACCGACCATCAGGAAATTTCACAAACCATCCCATAGGTTCAGCCAAACTATTATAATAACAATCCTTTTCATCAACCCAACTAATCATAGGATGAGATGTATATACCCATTATTGGCATCTAGAATGAAGCTTGCTCCGTCTTATAATTTAAATGCAGGTTATCCATCAAGCTCTATTTCATAAAAGTTTTTAAATCTATCTGGGTCATGATCAGGCAATGTCTCTGTATCAATATCTGTAGGTATGATCATTATTGTTATTATTATTAATAAATATGCATATCATTTCTCACAATCATCTTATTGACATTCTCAATATCTATTCTTTCGTAATTTGAATCGCAATTGATGCTATACCATTTTCTCTCCTTCTTTCTTAATATCTCCCTGACAACTAATGGCGCCAATTAACCTCCATTCTCTCCAATATCTCCTGAATTGTACTTAAAACCTATTTCCTCTTTCGGGAAGACTAAAGGAATGCAATCATCCACTTTTAATCTCTTATATATTGGATCCAATTCAATGAGAGATCCCCCTAATTTCACACCAGTCTAATATAGAAAATCTGGAGTATTTTTCATAACACTTTGGTAGATTTTGAGTTTGTTGATATCAAATGTAAATGATTTGGCAATATTAAGTGATTTCTTGTAGTATTTCAAAGCAGTCTCTATATTATCTTGTGCAATCTATTATCTCTCTTTTTAATAATACAAAAGATCTTTTTAATCTTTGATTTTATAAGCTAAGTTTTGTGCATCTTGAATTCCTGTGTTCATTCCAAATCCACCTGCTGGAGGCATTCCATGACATGCATCCCCAACTAGAACACAATTATTCTTATAATATTACTCTGCATAGACAGCACCCATCCTCCAAAATCCCACTGACTTTATTTCGATATCATTTACTTAACTAAGTAATGTTTTATTTATGAGATTTTTAATTAATACATGATCTTACTTTATGTGTTAGACTTCCTATATGTCAGTTTTACCAGTCAATAGATCTAAGGGTATTTGAATAGCAAAGATGCCATCTTCAATTCTATGTTTGATTATGACTGCTGTAATATCAGAGTTATATATGAATGATAACATTGAGTTGTATTATTCAAGTCTATTTACTAACTACTTGGATGTGAAATGAATATTTAAAAATCTTTAAAGATCTCGATTGCCTATCAATTTGATTTTCAGATAATCCCTAACAAAACCATTCAATCCATCACATCCATATAGATAGTCACATGTTATATCATCATTAACTTTGATAATTTTATCCTTGAATTCAATTTTCTTAATTTCCTTATTTAATTAAATTTTATCTCTTATTCCCTCTTAGACATGTTAGACAAATAGACTTTATGGTAAATGAGCATAACTCGTGTAAGAATATTGTTTGTAATCTATTAATTAACGTGTACTATTCAATGGTTACTCTCCAATTCTACGCAAATAGACATAATTAGAAAAATGTTGGATATTTTCTAATGGTAATTGGATGTTTAATTCATCCAGAATCTACATATCAACTAGAAAGTAGTACTTCCATTGTTCTCATATTGAGATAATGAGCTGAAGGATGTGCTGATAAAAAGGATTGCTTTTCGAATATTTGAAAAGGGATGTTAAATCTCTTAAAATAATGTCCTAAAATGAGACCAACTCTATAAAGTTTATAATGTATTACGGTCCAGCACCAACAATCAAATGAGGGATATGCACCATGTTTATAATATATTATTAATAATCATCTTTTTTTAAATCCGTATTTCTTTCTTTCATAAAACAAATCTGTTTTGGCAGATCCCAAATTCACTATTTTCGGACACCCATCTCTATCCTTCTCTTGCTAAACGCATTCTCTACAGTAATAAGCATCTAAGAATTATAAATTACTAATACCACTAACTCCAACTCCTCCACATATGACACATCTGCCTTAAAAACTTCCATAATTGCATTCATCGCAGATTTTTACTAAAACACTAGGTCTGACGTATGAATCACATATCACGCATTTACCATCGCATTTCTCGCATAATCTACCAATTGCAATACCTGGTTATTTACGACACATAATCAAATCGGGATGATGCTTTGCCATTATTTATTAATATTTATGAGTATATATTCATTTTTATGTAATCCAAATCTTTACCTTCTTATCTGCTGAACAACTAATCAAGTATGTACTGAATTGTAAATCGGTAATCTGATCATTATGAGCATCTAATTCAATAAGTGATTCAATCAACACCGTAACTTTCCACTTCTAAATTTCTAATAATACATAAGTTAATTACTTCCTGACACATCCCCAGTATAAAATGTATCTAGTTCTTTCCCTTCAACTGAAGCTGTAAATGGACTTCTATGTTTTATGGTAGTAACCAATTGTAATGCACTATCCCAAAGTCTAATCACTCCATCAGTTCCTATTGTAATCACTCTGCTGTCATGCATAGGCATTATGCCCACTACTTCATTGTTACTTGATTGTATGACATTGTCAACATGAAACACATTCCCTAATTTCCATTAGTAGAGTCTTCCTCCCAAATCTGCTGAAAATAGTTTATTCTCAAATATGGCAAAACTACAACAATCATATTTATGCATGTAAACTTGTGGAGTCAAATTGATAAATAAATATTCAATTGGTTAATCTGCTATTATTTGTTATTTCAATTTATAAACAATTAATTGAGTTTGAACTAAAATCAAGAATAGATCATTGATCAAACCAATCTTATTAATCACTCCAATATTAGGTGTTATAAACTCACCTTTGGGTATCCACATTATCCTTCCTTTTCTCATACATCAATACTTGTGTCTAAGTTAACAAAGCCAAAAGACTTTAAGTAATTTCAACCACTTATTTAATATTTTAATTATTGCCCAATTGTTACATTAATTTCAAACTAGGATACTCAAAAAAAGAAACTATTTTTGAACATGTGACTATTTATCCATTCTTCATTCTTATACAAGATATCACATAAGTTAAATGGTCAATTACTCCATATAATTAAAAACTTTCTGTTTTCTCAAATTATAATTGAGTATTATCAAATTTAGTTGGTCTTGCAAGTAATGAGGTGTAATCAATTGATTAAATATACTCCTATTATTTATCTGGGTACAAACTGTCCACAAATTCTTAGTAGGTCCCATATGGCTTAGATGTGTGATACTCCTTTGGATTTGACAAATGAATTGCACTCTAAAACAATCTATCCTCACTTGATTTAAGAGAATTCTCCAATTTCAATGCATTTTCTAACTTAATCTACTATTGATCTAATTAATACTAATTTCCAATATAGAATAACCCATCTAAAACTGTTTTAACTTAATTAATTTATTCTCTCACTTTAGTAACTATTCTAATTTTATCCTTTTCATATTTATTAATTACATCCTATGAGCCCTATTACAATATTGGCAATACTAATTATAATCCTTCTTCGTAAACCTTACCATCCTTCATCATTTCAATATGATCTATGATATTCTTTAATTATTTGCTATGTATCCATTGATTATCAATAAGCGATATTAATTTCTATTCCCTCTAATTAAGAATCTAATTCGTCTTATCTTTTAAGTATTAAAATTCTTTTTTAATGTGTTAGATTATGTCTTCCTTGAAATAAATTCGTTTCAACCGTTCAACTTCTGATCTTGGTTAATACATATTAGTACCTTTGAAATTCGTATAACATCCTATCAACAAACTTGGAAAGGGGAGTTACATTTGTATCAACATGGCCAATATGTTATTAGTTGACACATGAATTACATGCTAACTTATATTTGCAATCGAGTTTATTGCATATGTGAGTGGTTTGGGAATTATGCTAATAACAATTCATCAGATTGTGCATATTAAATATTATTAATAATATATCGTTTTATGAGAAAGAGATTTCATTTGAATAAATGGTACCATTCATTGTACTATTGTCTCCTGCTGATAAGTAAGAAAGATAATTCTATGTAATAGTCTCTTGGTATAAGGTGTCCTACTTATCAATAGTAAATTGGATCTTCTATTGCATATTCACTTATTACTTGGGATACAAATGTAACATAAACTCATAATTATAATAGTTTTTAGTGAGGAAATACTAAAATAGTTCAAATTAGTAATGAAATGTCATCTTATAATATCATTAACAATTAGTGTATATTTTGTAATAGGATTGCTTCTTAGTTTATTAAATAGTGATATGCAATTGGTAATGATTGAAAGGTTGAATTTCAATAATGAAATATACATATTTGGATATGAGAGTGTATTTGCTTTAATATTATGTTAATTATTACTTTATTTGGCGTTGGTAGTATTTTTATTGTTAATCTATTGGAATGCTCAGATGCCATAATATGAATACGTAGAATAGAATGAGAATTACACATTCCAATAGAGAAAGACCAGTTATTTGAGATAATAGAGTATAATGGATAAGATAATAATGCTAATAATAGCTTAGTTGTGTTTGAATGATGGGTTGATCACTTTGTTTTTAGTGCTTTGCATGTTAGTGTGGTTGGCTATTCATTTTCATATTTTGAATAAAAGAAATCAATTTCGATATTGCTAAATAGTAATAAAGAGTATCATAGTATGTTCATTTGTGGCATTGCTATTGTTGATTTTATCAGGCTAATAGAACTAAAGTTTCAGCACTTTAAATGGAACTCTGAACATTTATCGAATATTTAAGTTATTTGGCTTAGTGTTGATGACTTCCATATTAATATTGAGCATGAGAGCATACCATTATTAGTTGATAATAGGAGAGGAAGAAGAGATAGAAGAGCTAGAAAAGGAAATCTAGAAAGATATGAGATTGAAGATATCATCATTGGAGATATTCTTAGGTGAGAACTACTTTGGAGTTATTATGATTTTGAGTGTTTTCTGGATATCAAAACAATTTAGTATATTGAGAGGACTAGTCTATTTAATTCTATTGGTTGGTTAATTAAAGAGGAAAAACTATAAAGCCACAAGACGTTGGTAGTGTGCTATTGCCATATTGTACTTAGCATTTGCTCAATTTTTTTTATTGAAATTGTTTAATGTTCCATCTTTCAAAGTAAGTGTTTACTTTTAGTATTTGGGAGTGTATGAGTAGCCTCAATTCAATCCAAATGAATTATTTGCCATTTGGAATTACTTCTACAATAGATTTCACATTATTATGATTGACTTATTCTATATACTAATTGTAAGTTGGTTAGTCTACTCATAATAAACAATTGATGATAGGAGACGTTAGAAGAAGATTAATGATTTAGATAGTAAAGATCGTCCTAATAGAGAATAGAAGCCAAGTTGTTGGAGTAACTTCAAATCAAATTTATCGAGTTTCATCTTTCAAGTCTAAAAGAGCTTCTTAATCCACTTTGATGAAATAGTAATCATCTATTGTTTGATTACTGCCCTTAGTCATGCAGATATATTTAGAGGAGTCTTTTTGATATTCTTTATACTCTATGCTTTTGCTTAACTAGAAAAAAGAAGGAAGTATATGAGAAATCATTTAAGCATTGGTTATATCATATTGTTTGTATTGTACTCTATGTAATTGATGTTTTTGAGATCATTAACAACTCTCAATTTCATATTTAAATTTGGTGGTTTGGATGAAGTGACTTAATAATTTAAATTCCCTTTCTATTTTATCTACAAATACTATGATATAATTATTGGATGTGTCTTATTAACATTTTAAATTTAAGTGATCTAAAAGAGTGATCACTATTAAGAATATAAGAAGAAATTGGATGATTACAATCTTGATTATTTAAGGTAAATATTGTAATCTAATGGATTGATATTCTGTTAGATCATTGCTTTGATTGTAGCCTTCATTCCACCTGCTAATTTACTGTCACTCATATTCATCTTCTTTTTCTAATTGTTTCTCTATTTGTATTACATACATGGACAACTAAATATCATTATGGACAGATTATACTAATATTGGCCACTCATGATCACTCTAACATTGATAATTCTGATTGTCAGATACACATACACTATTAAATTCTTTTACTATTTTGTAGAATTGTACTTTTAATAACCAACTCTTTTAAGTGACTTCGGATTGGATCCAGATTTTAACACTCTGAAATTAGCAGGAACTGGTATTGCATTACTCGTTCTATGTGCATATAAGAGGGCTTATTTAGCACCATTAATAGAATAGTAGAAATAAGAAAAATAGATTTACAAAAAAGACACTCTTGTTTATTACATTTATTGCATCCATATCAAACTATGTGTCTACAGTGTTTATCACATTCAAAAAGTGGCTTTCATGATTTCATTCTTCATTTCTGTTTACCAATAAAGTTACATAGGCTTTCTATTTGCCATCATGATTTTTTTAATAATGCTGAATGAGATGAAAAACAATTGGTAAAATATATCCATTCCTATTTTGGTAATCATATTCATTTAGATCCTCATATAATATATATTCTAAGCAGAACTACTCAGAACTGCTTAGGGTTAGGAAACTATCTCCTGGATTGGAATTGAGAACTAATATCAGAACAAATACTGGTATTTGCTCATTATGTTTCACCTCTCAGAAATGATTTAGGTTCTGAATGTAATGTTTAAATAATAAGTAAATGATTATTTATAATTATTCCTAATATAAACAGATAGAGAAATCAATAACCTTAATTTGCTTTAAGACTTATTACATTCATTGTAATAAAATATCGTCTAAGAGTAAAATAGCATTGACTCAGAAGCCTCATAATAATAACAAGTAGAATTACAAGTAAGGGATGATAAATCATAGGAATCTATATTTTATGATGAGTTGGACGAGTAAAATGAAAGGTTTGCAAAGATTTAAAGTTATTACATACTTAAATCAAATATGCAACAGGAATAGTTTTATTATAGAGTCTATCCCTTTTATAGAGCACTGAAATTTCATTAGTCAGTTGATAATCTCTTTACCTAAATTGGATTGGAAGTCTGTTTATTCTTTATTGTCATTACTGCCTATTATCAAAGGAATTTCTTTTCTGTTTTCTACATTGTAGTTGCTAGTGCATTTGCCAATAAATCACATTTATTAGATAGACATTAGAAATTAGGTATTTTTGGATAAGCATGGGGAGCATTGTGTATATTATAAATGTTGGAAGTTATAAGAAAATATGCTACATTGTAATGGACTCCTCCATCATGGGATGTTCGAAAACCGTGGTGGTATTTTAGTTACTCTTGCGATCCTAGAGGAAAGGAGTCATTTAATAATGATGACCCAGATGATTCTACTAGTGATTTCATGAAATGCCAAACAGATTGGAATTATTGGTTATCTTTATAAGGATATACTAATTGGGATTTGTGGATCAATTTCATTGCCTTACTCATCTCCTTGTGTTATTATCGACATTTCAAGACTGTTTAAAGAAGATAATAAGAATAGGAGATTCAAGATCACTTACATCCTGAGGTAGAATAGATTTAAGCCAATTTGATGGATAAAAATGATTTCACTTATGAGGAAAACAGAACTAAAATCATGGATTTCATAAAGTTCTTTATCTTTTGTTATTTCTACAAATTCGCTTTGATTGTATTTTTGTTGATAGGAATGTCATCGGATATCCAATCTTATACAGAAGTGATCTCTTGTATCTATTTCTTTTTGGCAATCAATCTATTGTATATGAGTGAGAAATTAGAGAAGGACAGAAATGTAATTTGGGGCAAGTTAATATTATTTAATACAATTGTGATGATAGCAATGTCATTATATTAAGCTCCATTCGTCAAATGTCCAATCATCTATGAAAACGATAGGTATTATTATGATAATTTGGAATGTGTGCAGATTCAACTCAACAATCATTATTACAATAGTGATTTCTTTATCTTCTTATAGGATGAGTTTTAATTGTTGGCAAAACAAACCAATGATGTATTAAAGAAGTATGAAGGAGTGTCCACTTTAGATGTGATTTACATGTTCTTATCTCATCTCTTAGGTTTGAATAAAACTTTAGAGTATTAAATTTATTGTTAAAATTAGTTTCCGATTCGGTTTCTGTAAGGAGACTTTGATGGCATTCTTCTTTTTGCTTGGACTACTACAAAGGAATATTTGGGCACATCCTTATATGAAATAATATGTGGATCCATATTTGTAGAGACAATAATAATAGCAAAAGATAAGTGCTATTTAACTAATAGAAGGAATACATTTAAAACGAATTTGGGATTTCAAGTACGTGCAAGCATAAAAGTAAGTGCATGAGAGTCTACAATAAAGAGTGTAAAATAGAGTTGAAAGATGGGATAATTTCTTTTAGTTTGATGATAATAACAGTTTGAAAAAGAAGAGTTTCTTTTATTTGACTCCGAGAAGAGAAGAATAATTTTAGATTATTTAATTTTCTGAGGAACGATCAGAGGATAATTAATAACATACAAGTTTTGATTCTGAGAAGTTTTAAGTGTTCAAAGGTGAACCAAAGAAGTTGATGAAAGCTGAGAAGATTACATAATAAAATAAGGCGCCAGTAATACATTTGTATGATGCTTGTTGCATTGTTAAATATTCAATCAATGAAAAGGATTTGAGATTGAGATTAAAGAAGTTAATGTTATTAGAAGAAAAAAGATAATTGGAAAAGGTCTATTTGAATGATAGAATTGGATTAACTAATTATCACATTGGAGTAATTGATGAAATTGATAGAAAAATCATTCAAGTTGACAATGAAATAGCTCAGTTATTTAAAGTACAACAATTGATAAAATCTACATCCATGAGAGATATCAAAATGATACCATTTGAAGAATTCAAAGATGAACGCAAGTCTTTTGAAATTCTTAGTGAGAGAGATGAAAGACAAAAATAAATATCTGAAGAAGAAAGTGCTAAGGATTTTAAGAAGTCAGAAGATGATAAATCAGAAGATGAACCTCCAATTGTCTAGCCATAGAAATCATTCTCAGAAAAGGTCAAGGATCTTATCATCTATATACTCACCCATGAAACTTACATCAGAGAATAAGAGTAATAACAAAATGAAATAGACAAAAAGAAATTGTCAGTCTTGATATTTGTTTTTGTTGCGCATTACTTTTAAGTGGTTTGTGTATTATTGATGGTATTTAATGCTTGTTTCAATGCTAACATAATAGCTTTATTCTACCCTTTTTCAGCCTTCCTCTATGGGTTATTAGAGAATCCGGTTCCTTCTAAACGATACTGGAACTTCTTACTCATCTACACCATAATAATAATTTCATTGAAATTCATATATTAGATGCCCATCTTTTGTGATTCACCTCCCTACACATTTATAGGATTCTCTTAAGAAGAAGCATGTGAACCTAGAGTAACAACTCAATAAGAGAAAATCACAAGGATAGACTACGTTATTGGTATTCGAAAATATTAAGGAGCAGAAACCTTCATGAATGCCATTTGGATAGAATTACTATTATTTATAGCTCTCTTAATCCAGAGGTATTTGTTGCAATCTTAGGGAATCTGGGATTACATGAAATTGTCATTAGATCAATATTTCATACCTTAATTCTAACAGTAAGTAGATGACAAATCAAGTGAACACCAATAGGAATCTAGTTTGAAGGAATCTGAACAAGAAAGTGACGATTTCTCAGAAAATCATCAGGTTTAGGAGTAATAAAAAGAATAATAGACGATTATGATATCTATTTAAGACACCTTTACATCTATGTGGAAGCAAATAGTCAAATACTATTATCGTTTATTCCCTCATGCTTTATCTACCATTTACAATTAAAGGAAATATGACCCTGCAACTTAACAGATGATAATAAAAGATGGAGTCGTACTTCCAGAACAGATTAAAGTGGGTAGAGATTTCTATGCCCCGGGATTTATCATTTGTATGATCATTTTAGTCTACTTCCTATTATTCTATCCAAATATCATAGCCAAACGAAGTTATGCTCACATTACCTAAGGATAGAGTCAAAGATTTTCATCTGAAGTTATATTTGTACTACTAGTTGTCATTACTATCATAATTACTGACAGAGCATTGTTTATCATGAGGAAAGTGACTAAGGATCCAAGAAATGACAAATAAAATTAGAGTGGAAATGATATCCAGAAATATACTTTGATGATAAAAGTAGCCATTCATTTCATTTTAATCATAGTTGTTCATTATTACTTCTTTTTTGTTATACCATAAAAAACTAATAAAAGTATTAATAAATCATTAAATTTTAGGATTCTAAGAGTCATACTATCTAATATTTGCATACATTCTAGTTTGTATATATTTTATGATTTCATCTGTGTAAATAAGATATGGATATCCTATATAAAAGTATACTCAGATATTTACTAATTCTCATAAACCAGCCAATTCAATGGCATTTAAGATCTATAGAATGATTCCCTTTTTATATGAATTGAGAGTGATTATTGATTGGACATTTACTACTACAGCTTTGGATCTAATTTAATGGTTTAGACTCGAAGATATCTTTGCTAATCTATACATCTGTTAGGCATATTAGGATTCTCGTATTGAAAATCACAAGTTAGGAGATCCAAGATCTGCATCTGACAAATGTTTAAATGGATGTCTCTATTCGATGTTTATTGTTTTTATTATCATCTTGCCAATTCTGATTTTTAGTACATTAAATCCAGCTGTAGAAATCAATAATATCACAAATGGCAAATTTAGTATTAAGGCTGCTTTCTTTGGTTCTGATGATAAGTTATTCTTTACATTATTTTAAGTAAACGACTTAGAATTATTGGATATACCAAATGATTAATTTAAGAAAATATAAAAGATCTATGGTGAAATTGAAACATCATGGTAAGAGAGAATGTAAAAAGTTAGAATCAAGAGATTCAGTGATATTGAATGGAATCTTCCTGAAAATTATAGAGATTAAATCAGAAATATGATAAAGTCATAAGAGTATTAGGTAGAAATCCAATGTGAATGGGTATTTTAGAAGAGTGATAGCTAAGGAGGTGCAAAATCATTCACAGGTTAATCTATTGTATAGGCACCTGATACATTTGTAAATAATTTTGGTAAGATCCTTGCTCCAAGAGCACCTGATGCCGTATTTGACATTAAGGTGTTGGTTCCAAAATTCTTATATGTTGGAGAGTCTGCTGAGACTCAAGCATTACGATTAGAACCAGTTAATATAAGAGAGGAAATCAGTTACTATTAAGATATTCGTTTGATTCACAAAAAGACAAGTGATTTTGTATTCTTTGAGTTGGTACCCAATGATGATTCAACAGATTTGAAGTAGATTGGAGGTATATTTTGATTAATATGCTATAGCATCATCATAAAATAGAGTTGAATTCTTTGTATTGAATGAATTAGCTTTTGGTAGTTTGATTGGAGCATTGTCTACAAATATGTCAATAATAAGTATATATGCAACATTTGTGTTGACAATCGGTAGGTTTTTGAGATTTGCATATGACAAAATAAGTACAAGAGTTATGTTTGAGGAAATGCCAGAAACATATGAATTATTTGATTTGTGTCAAAGCATTTATATAGCAAGAGTGGATGGAGATTTCTTTAACGAAGAAATATTTTATGAATTACTAATTAGGATATATAGAAGTCCAGAAATACTATTTAAAATGACAGGTGCTTCAATTTATGATAGATAAAAGAAATGATTGTAATTAATATATATTTATTTGATAATTGAATATGAGTTCTGGAAGTGAGAAGTTGGATTAGGTGCATCAACATCACTTGATGGCACCTTTGAAACCTTTCTTTCCTAATCAGAATTTGGAAGATAAGAGGATCAGAACTGCAGCCAGAGAATTTCATGATTTTCTGAAGGAAGCAATAGACGAAGAACATTAACACCTATTGAATGCAGATCAATCTATAATAAATGATGAGATAGTTAAGATGGCATTACCAGAAACTAAAGCTGAAATCAAAGAATTAATTTATGAATTAAAACGAATCCAAAATGAAGAAGAATAGCTGTTATTGCATTTTATAGGATAAGCTAAACAACTAGATAATAATGATAAAACGACTCCAAAAAGATTAAAGGATTATTTTGAAGGATTCTACTATGAAGTTATGATAAGAAGTAGTGACAAAAAGAAATTGTATGAAAAAGTTTTGTTGCGAGAAGAACAATTGTAATTATCACTTAAATATCAAGGCAGAAGCATTTAACCTAATTGGAAATTAATATGAATAAAATTGAAAAGAATTATGAATCTATCAAAAAGTGGCATGAAATTAGATCATTAAGACAGACTGGGTATTTTGTTTCATCTATTTAAAATAGGAGATTTAAGAACAGTACAACTAAAATATAGAAAATACAAATTCCAAACAATGTCTCAGTCTAAGCATTGAGTCAGGATTTTCTTACAAAAAATGTAAATATACAACAATAAGAATAATCTGTATTGCATGAAGATGTCATGTCCAAACCAAATGCAATCACTTCAGGATACAATCTGGAGTATAAACCTATTCAATATAAGGAAATATAATCAGATTTAAAAGAAATTGAAATTGATGAAACAAGTGTCTATGATTGGATCGTAGACATTGATTTAATCACTACTATTGCTAAAAATGGTTGGAAAGTATATTTGTCAAAGAAATTTGCAGATGCACAAGTCAAATAAGAGTTAGAAATACCTAATTATGGATTCACTAAATAATAACATAAGGCTTAATGGGAAGGTGCAGCTGTTGCAGTCGTTGGTTTATACGATAAAGGAAAAACCTTTGTACTCAACAATCTTACATCTTCAAATTTACCTTCAGGGAAGAAAGTAACTACTAAGGGAGTCTCATTTAAGCATGTGAATGTTGATTCAGGTACATAATTGATACTTGTTGATACTGCAGGTAGTTATTCACCTGTTAAAATTACGAATGAATTAAGTATTGTAGAAAAAGAAGCCACAGAAATGTTTATCACTGACTTAGTTTTTGAGATCTCAGATTATTTCATTTGTGTAGTCAATGATTTCACTAGTCTCGATTAAAGATATTTGGATAGATTGAGTAGAAATCTGTAGAACTCTCCAAATAAAACATTTAGAGAAATTATTGTTATACACAATCTAAAAGAAGTAGAATCACCTGAGATCTTAGAACATGTTTGGAGTACTCAAGTTACTCAAATCTATTAGAATGGATCAATCTAAAGAACTAAGGTTGCATCAATTAATCCTATCAATCATTAATTGTAAGAAAAACATGTCTTATGGTTCAAAACTGAATTTACAAGACATGTTTGTTTAGTTAATGATGACTCATATCTAGGAATGTCAATCAACCCTTGGGTTTTTTCATTGTTGAGATATTGGTTAAAGGCAGTATTTGTTCCTGTTAATAGATAATTCTCAGTTGTAGATAGTATCATTCAATTTAGTAAGGTATGTATTTATTCATCAATTCATTTAGACTAAATTATCATCTTATTTTAGAACCATTCTCACACTTCAGATTTAAGATACTGATGACTTTTTAGTTAAAACTATTGTTACTTAATAAGAAGTATAAGATAGCAATGTCAGAATACCTTAAGTCTCTATTGATTCTAGCGGTTTGATAATGACCAGACCTGACAGTTTCTTACCTAATACTGATATCATAGCCACTGATTAATACATTATTTATATGGATGTGCCTGGATTAACCAAAAATGAAATCCTTGTGTATCGTCAAAATGTTGTAACAATCATAAAAGGAATACGTAAAAGACCCTATGATGTAATTCAATTTATTTAGTTTATAAGACTGAGAAACTAGAACGCAGTGAACGCAAATACGGCGAGTTTGCTTTGTCATTTAAAATTCCAGAGATTTACGAAAGGAAATGGAGTACCTTTACAGTTGAAAATGGAGTGTTGACAATTGTTTATGAAAAAGATAAAGATGATTAAATTGTCAGATAAAAAAAACAGGAGTGAATTAATATAAATATTAATATATATATATGATATTTGTTTCACATTAATTAATTAGGTAAATTTGAATAACCCATAATGTTTTCATTATTAAAATCAATGAATTGATTCTATGATAAAGAGAATTATATACATTTGAAAAATTGAAGTTTGGTAACTCAGGCATGAAATTAGGTTTTATTACAGATTTTAATGGTTATTACACCTTTTTAATACCAAAATTGAATGATTTCTTTCCTTTGCTTAATCCGAACATTTTATATTCATCATAAATTTTGATCAATAATTGTTCTACTAATTGACAAGCCTAAATTTATTATTATTATTACTCTAAGAAAGAGATGATTATGTTTAGAGGATACACATAAATGTAAAGGTTCCTGAGATTCTCTTTTTTCTGGTCCTTCCTTGTACCCTGATCCTCTTCCTCTTAATCTTAATTTAACCAAATCTTATTCTTTTGTATCACAATCAAAAAGACATTAATCAATTATCTTTTTCATGTTGCATCCTTTTGCACCTAAAATAGATTCCAATTCAATACCTATAATCTTACGAGCAACTTGAAAATCTTTGTCATTATCGATTTATACATCATATCTACAAGTAAACTTTTATTGATTTGAATCTTGGAATTCCATAATTTCTAATAGATCCTATTGACTAGTGAATTCTATTTTTATAGTGACATCTAATTCTTTGATTTAATGTTTATTTAATAGTTTGTAAACTATGAAAGCATCGAAAACTGAATTGAATTTAATTATGATCGCACCATTGACTTTTGTATAGACTTATTTAACTTCTCCAAAATTTTCACAAACCTAAAGATTTTAATATAAAATTCTCGTTACTTATTTAATATCATCTTAATCAAGTTCAATTTCATAATTGTCTTCACTTGACAATTCAACTGTCAAATATTAATGTGGATATTGTCTACTCTATATATAGGATTACAATTAATTACTTTCTATTTCAACATAGCACTTATTCTCTATTTCACCTTCTGATCACTGAATAATTAGATTTATTTATTCCCTATTAGTAGGTGAAGCATTCAGTAAATTGTCATCACTCTATTCTAACTATAAAGTAAATATGAAATCATACTAGGAAATTGGTCATGTCCTCAATTTGCTATGAAATCTCTTGAAAGCTCATTAATTATTCTGTTAAAATAATATATTTTGTATTATTCATATAATATCTTCACTTTATAATTGTTTTTCAAATGGAATCTTTGTATATTTAGGAACAGAAAGACGTCTACAAATTCTCTGCTGATAAGAATATTAAGGTGTTTTGGCACCAGAACGAGGCCTATAAATCGTATGCATCACTACCTTTCCCTCTCAGGAGTTCTTAACCCTTATTTAAATGAGACTAACCAATGTCTATCGGCACATGTATTCATCAATCCACCATGACTATCTCTATTCATATTTAGAATTAATACTATTTACAAAATATAATTATCTCTTCCACTTCCATTGCTAATATAATGCAGAGTCTTATTGCTTGATTGAGGTCTATAAATTTTCGTTGATTTTTTGGGTTGAAAACTTCCAACTGGAGGTTGATGACATCTCTAAGCATGTAATGTCAATCCACCGTTATCAAATTAGACATATGTATCACGTCCTGTTTTTCAATAAATCTACTATCTTACCTGTTCCATCAGAATAATAAAAATTGGCCTTAGCATATTAAGCTTCCGTTTTTATGTTACCAGTCTTCATCGATTTGTAAAAATAATTAAGTAAATTACTATTATAAAAAATATATCATTTAATTTAAACATTTCTGTCTTCTCTTTGCATATTTAATTATTCCTGCAATAACTAACATTCTTCAACTAAGTGAAACTAAAGCATATTATTAATAACTTACAATCTATTACTGACATTTCGAATGCACATCATCATCTTTAATTTAACTAATATTATCAAAAAACGAATCATCTCCATATAGGATTTCTTGTCTTAATGAAAAATTCAAAATATTTAAGCTATGTTACTCTGATTAATCTTAATCCAAGTCATTCAAACTTATTCTCTGAGGCATTCTCTATTTCATCTCTTATATTTATTACACTAATTTCTTGCACTCCATCTCATAATACATTGCTTTTTACTAAAACATAAATTAATACATTTACTTCTGATTTATCAACAATCTATTAATACTGTTATAAATTGAATTTTGTGTCATCAATGCATTTTTATTATTTTTCTGCTTACAATAACTTATTCTACAATTCCCCAATCTTCTTTCTATATTCATTAACGTTTTGTCTTTATTACTCTGTTAATAATGATTTCATAGATTGCATTGTCAAATTAACTCTATTATGTAAGAATTCTTGCATAAGTCCATCTAACAATTACGAATAAGCCTCTATTGATTTTATATCCTATGAATTGCTGCTTTATTTCTTCTATTCGCTTAACTTCAACTCCTTAATTTTCACAAGTATATCTCCCTCTCCCTCAAATTCATTCTCTATTTTCTTATATTTATCTCTAACATCAATTAATCCAACCATTTGATTACTAATAACTTATATCTACTTTTCAACATCTTCCTCTTCATCGTCTGTTAATAACTCAGAGTATAATTAAAATATCAATGTTGAATATTGAGATTGTTTATCTAATAATTCTTAAAATTCATTCTTTATCTAAGATAATGCATTTATAACATTTTCTTCACTAACTTCAGAAATAGATAACTCCTATTATAAAATTTAATTAATTTTATTCTATTCCTCATTTTCAAACCTATTCTTCTCTCCCATTTCAAATACCTTCAATCTGTATTCATTTTCTCTCTTTCTAACTTATTCTATCAGTGTGCTATTCTCCTCCTACAATTCACTAAGTCTAACAAATAATTCTTTATTTTGATTTCCGAGTTCATTTAATTAACTTTCAAATTATTACTTTTGATTTTCTGATTCTAAATCACTATTTTATAACTAAATACTCTTGACTTCTAAATCTTACTGGATCTTCTCAATGTTAGTCCTTAATTAATGAATCTTCAAGTTCTATTGTGACTTTTCATCCATTATTAAAGTCAATTCTTCATTTAATTACAATACCTATGACTGATATTATTCTATTAAGATTCCTTATTCTTATAATTCTGTATCTTTAGACGACAACTATTCATTTAACTATTGGCAAGTAGTCTATTGATTTTTCACTATTTCCTTCAAATTTTCATTCTTTTTTAGCAATTCTTCTGTAATTTTTTCTTTCTCCATTTATACTTATTCTACTATTTACTTCAATTCACTCTATTCAGAGCTGGATTACATTGAGACTTAATTTAAATTGTTAAGTTTTTCATTATAATCTTATTCCTATTTCACTTATAATATTTGCAAGTTATTTATAAGTTCATTCTGATCAGCAATCTGTTATTCACGATTTTTTAATAAATTTAATACATTATCTAATTCTTCTTATTTCAATTAATTATAATTATTTATTGTATTAACTTATTCATGTAGTTTAGTGACTTGATTTTCAAAATCATTTATTTAAATATCTTTGTTATTATTTATTTCTTGTAAAATTGTAATTTACTTCAATAAATCATCATTTTCATTCTATAATTTGATAAATTAATTTTTCAGCTGTGTGAGTTCGTTTGAACTAATATCCAATTCTTATTATTTCTTATTGACCAGATCCTTTGATTATAATATAACTTCACTTAGTTGTAGATTCATTTAACATTCGAAATCTTTCACTTATGATTAGAGTTAATTAATGAGAAAATCTTATTCTTTTATCTTAAATTTAAGTTCATTTATAGTATTTGAATTTGATTCTGATTGTTAAGATATCTATGACTATAAATCTTTATTTTAATCTTTATAAAGACTCATTTCTTTGGAAACCAAAATTAATTTACCATTCAATTCTTCATTATCTAAAACTCTTTCATTTAATAATTTATCAATTGAATCTATTTCATTTTATTTCTATTCTAATTATTCTTTCAATTTTTATAACTCTTGATTTGTTATTTGTTCTTACTCAATCAACTTGATTTAATCTTATTCTATTTAGGCTCTTCTTTCACTTGTATGTATTAACTATTCATTCAATTTCCCGATTTCAGATTTAGAATTTATTTCAATAGTTCTAATCTTTTCATCCTTCTATTGGAGTAAATCTTTCCATTTTAGTTATTCATTTTGAGACTCTTATTATAATGTCTCTAACTATTCAATTAATTAGCGATATAAATTTTAATTTGACTATGATTGTAAATAAATTTCCTTGTTCTTTTAATCTAATTAAACTATTTTATTTTCTAGTGCTTTAATTTAATCTAAGAATCCTTATTTTTCTTCTTCTTTTGTTGAAATTTATTATTCCATTTAGCAATTAATTTGATTGATTTCTTATTGTAAAACCAAATCAAATCTTTCTTAATTAAGTTTAATCTAAATTTAATGTTATTAAACATCATGTTAGTATTAATCTCTTTAATTTTAAAGTTATTCTTAAAATTCTTAGATCTATTTATGGAGTTCCAATATTATAGATTCTTTTTCTTAATTACTTTAGTTTTAAACCAAATCTAAATTTTTTTGTATTTACTTTAATTCAATTTCATGTTATTACTAGTCAATCTATAACTAAGATTGCAAATCTTGAATAGTTTTAGAATTTTGTTCAATAGTATTATTAAGTTAAGTAGATTCAAATCTCAATTATGTTATTTCACTTTACGTCGTAATTAAAGTTTGAGATAATTATTCTGCAGTAATCTTATTCTCAATATGCCTTTTTTCAGTTGCTTCAAGATTAGATTTCAATTAATTTATGAGATTTATTTGATCTTATATAGTTTTACCTAATTCTGATTGGTTTTATTTATTAACTATATCTTATTGTTCTATTTATTTTTTGAATTTGTAACATTCTTATTATGTATCATGATGTAATAATTATTAATTTTAGATTAGTTCTTATTGATCAAGTACAACTTACTTGGTCTAATTTAATTCTAATGCTAATAATTCATACTATTCTTTCATTGATTACATTGATTCGCTATTGTTTTATAATAATGCTTCATTCTCTAAATTGACTTTCTGTAACTAGGCTTATGATTCATGTAATAGTTTCTTCTATTCGCAAATGATCATTTAATTTTATTCATTGAGTCTTTCAAAAGATTACAATTTCTATTATAGCATTTCTTAAGATTATTTTTATTGATCCTGCAATGTCTTGACTTGCTTTTAATGGTCATTAGTTTATTTTAGTAATTCTTTTTTGAGTTTAGTAATAGTTTCATCTTAGTTTCTTCTTTCATTTTCTGCTTATTAATACTTCTCAGAGAGATCTTTAATTTCAGCCAACTACCTTTCCGATAATTTAATGAATTCATTAATTTTTTATTCATACTATTCTTAATTCTTCTAAAGATCTTTTTTCATTAATTTAATTGTATCTTAATCTTATTGTTATTGAGAATAGAATTCTACATTTTATGATTAAATTGCTTTATATTCTTCTTCCAAAGCAGAATGCTCAATCTCCTTATTTTATATAATTTCTTATAATTTCTTAACCTTATCTGAGTAAACTAAACTATCTTTTGTGATTTTATCTTTGATAATCTATTCAGCCTCTTTCAACAATTATATTTGATTATCAGATTGCTCTATTTGACTATGAAGATCAATAATTAATTGATGTAATCTAGTAATTTCAGATTTATTCTATTCAATAACAGTTAACAGATTTTCTTCCTATTGGGAAGATTTTGACTAGTTTTATAAAATAACTTAATTTAATCTTTCGATTTCTTTTTTGAATTAGTTTATTTGTGTTTATTGTTCATTATAAGTCAATTTAAGTTCTTAAGATTTAGTAATATCTTCTTTTAGTTTTTTGGTTTATTCATTCAGATTTAATATTTCTTGTTGCTTATTTTACAATGCTGTAACACTTATCTAAGTTTATCTGTTAAATTCGACTTATAAGTTTTCATTCTTCTGTACTAATTCCTTATTTGTATTAGAAAGTTGATCATAAAGTTCTTTATAATTTTTTAGTTGCAATTCGTAATTTTAAAATTCTAATTTAAATTTATTTTGTAATTCTTCTATCTATTGTTTGGCTTTGATATGAGTATTGTTTAATTCTTTATTTATTAGTAATATTTCTTCAGATTGATTGAACAATCTTTCATTAATGGCATCCAACAATCCCTTGAAATCATTTTGTTTATGAACTATTTTATTATTTTGAATGATTTCCTTTAATCTCATTACTAGTGTTTCTTAAAACTATTAAAATTCATATTATTCAGATTCTCTTTAATTTATGATTTCTTGAATTTCCCCTAATTATTTTAGCCATTTTGCTATACTATCACCGATAACACCTTAAAATTGATAAGCATCCTGGAATTTTTATGCTGAATTGTGGCCAATCTTATTTAAATATTAATAATAAGATTTAATATTAGTTTCTAATTCAGAAATAGCTTATCGAAGTGTAGAGATCTGTTTTTGGCACGTTAAATCAATTTCTAAAAACTTTTTCCATAGATCTTGATTATTCTCACAGATTTGAGCCGAATATTTGAGAATCTCTTCCTTCTATTCACACATAAGCTTAAAGGATTCTTTGTAATAGAGATGAGTAGTTACTTAATGAATTTGAGATGAGATTGTTCTTTTCATTTTCGACATCTGTATTCAAACTGTTGTTCTTTGATAGATTTTCAATAGCTTCATAATTCTTCTAATCAATATCCTTAATCAATGATAATAGCATGGGTTCATAAGTATCTGGAATATTTTCTTTGTTTTTTGGATAAGTTCCATTTAAGATTTCATTCAATTCATTCTTTTTGGAGAATGATGTTTTGGCACTTTTCTTACCTGATTTATACAGTTCCAATTCCTTCTCACTCTTGTCTAATAACTAATACAATTTCTTGATACACACTTTTCTACTCTAAAAATAACATTAATGTAATTTAATACTTCTGCCTTTTTTTCAGCCTTCTACAATTGCATCTTTAATTATGCCAGATTGGATAGAGATTGTGAATTGATGTTATCGCTAACTCTTTTTCTTAAGGTATCATTCTCTTATTTAATCTTTTCTAATTACACAGCTAATGAATCAGCAGATTCTAAGACATCCTACTAATCGATGAAATAAATACCAATCTCATTTCCACTTATGTTCTAATTTACATATAGGTTCGAATGATCTTGTCATCAGTGTTATTTTCAATTGCATTATTAGCTGCTCTAATTAAATTAAAAATTAAGCCAGGTTCCCTTGGAGATTATAATTTTAACTAAGGTGAAAGAGGTAGCTTTTTTTAGCTTCCTGGTGATGATATACTCATCAAATCTACTTTCTTTTATTCGCATTATTTAAATTTATATTTTTCTCTACTTTGACTCTATTATCTAGGTCTTTGTCCAATTTATAAAGATGACCTTGCAGTTAATTCATAAACTGAAAGAAGAAGATCTGCATTATTTTAATTGTTATTTCGCCTAATTTATTCAGTGGTTTACCTTTACTCAAGAGTTCGTTGCATTTTATGTTTTGAATTCAAAAATATTAATTATACACAATACTTGTTAAAATAAAAATTAACTATATTTGTTTGAATATTCAATGAAAATGTAAAAATCATCTGATGAACTATTAAAAATACTTCTACTTCTCCTATCCCTATAATTCAGCTATGAATTCATCGAACTGTTCTACTTTCTATAATAAAGTCTCTTCATCAATTTCACTTTCTTATGATTTCTTATGCATCTCTTAAATCTCTTAAGCTAAAGTGCAATTCTTTATGAATTTCTCTAATTTCTCTTAATATTTGTTCCTATAAAAGGCATCTTTGTTTTTATTATTAGCTTTCAAAGAAATAGCAATAAACTTCAAAACTGTTTCTTTGCAAGATAAAGTGGGATATTTGGGTTTTTAATATCCTAATTGAGCCAAAACTCTTATGATAATATTCTTAAGATGTAATTCTAAATATGATGTGCAATCACCTCTCTTCGCTACTTTCTTTGCAATATTCTAAAATATTTATAAATATTTATTATACCTTGACAGATTATAATTCTCCCAATTACATTTTATCAGGTAATCTGGCATGCTTGTATCTCTAAGGATTCATTTCAAATAATTGCATATTATGTGCGTTAGTGAATATCAATTGTTAATTCTTATGGACAATCACTAAGTTACTTTGACCCTTAACTAAATTGTTGTTAATCAATTCAACTGGACAATGACCTAAATGCATTAATAATTACATAATACCCTTATATTCTGGATATGGATCGAATTTATCTCCAACAGTTAGTTATCTTGGTATCTTATATTTTTCAATTGAATTATTGCAATAATGAGTGGGATTCTTGATAAAATCTTATTCAGTATCTTCACTTGATAAGAAGAATAATTAATCATCATAAAACAATAGATATGGACTTCTTAACTAACTGGCCACGTAATTCTTTTTTGCTTTAATTAAAACAGGACAATAATTATACAATGGACTTAATTTTTGAATGATTTATTCTTCAGTCAAAGTCAAAGAACTTACTCTAACTGGTTCCTATGTAATTAATGCTCTTGCTACTAAAGCTCGAGAATATAAATTGTCTTATATATATTTAGTGCATAATGAGATCATACCCCAGCTTGATACTTATCCAACCTATAGATATCTCACATTATTGAAATGTGTTGAATAATATGCTGATAATAATGAAGTTTGATTTGCCGATAATCTTTAATGGACCACATGATCAATACCACCAAATTTAGGATTTAATTTACGAATTACATATTCATCATCTTTATCACAAACAAATACTACTGTTGGAATGATACCTGCCTTTGATAATGCCAAAGCTTCATCAATGGTTCTTGGATACCCATCTAAAATGTATCCTTAATTGTATATGTCAAGCAATTGAATTCTCTTTTGAATAATTTAAATTATAGATTATGTATCTACCTCCTTGCCTTCTTTCAATTGATTTTTGATTTTTACTGCCAATAAATCCGTTTAATTAGTTACAAATTCAGCCAGCAAATGGGACACTTTGACTCTAGCTAATTTTAGTTTATCACTTAACAATCTAACAATCTCAGTTTTTCCTGACTTTACTTTTCCTAAAATGAATATAGTGGGCTTGATTTAAATATCATTAGGAACTGTTGGCTTATAAAAGTATTTGTATGGTCTTTAGCATACCTATTCCCTTTAATCCTCACTGTCAAGATAGTAAATTCTATTTCTATATAAAACTGGATAGTCTCTGCAATGAGGAACATTTTACAAGGTAATGGCATTCCTATTTCCAAATTTAGATTATTTATGAGTGTATAATTTTTCATAGATATCTAATTTATTTATATTAAAGTTGGTTGGATCTGGATACAAATTTAATTTTTAACATTATTCTTTTTCTAACATATTTTCTCTGTATTCTCTATCCATAATATTTTCTAATTATGATGTGATTCTTTCTGTGACATTTTCTATAGTAGTATCAGTACTGAGGATTACTGCATTGATTTTTAATTCTTCAAATTATCTTTACAATTCTTCAATTTTAGCTGAATCTGCTTCATGCTATTACTTTAATTTATCTTCCTATTCTTTTATCATATCATCTAATTTAGGTGCTTCTGGATCTTCTTCTTCACCTTGAGGTGCTTCCAAAGATGGCAACTCTTCAGCCCCTTCTTCAATAGCCTTGTTTCTTGCCTCCACTCTTTCCTAATACCTTTTCTATCTCAACTCTTCCATCTTCATCTAATATTCATCCTCAATAACTTTAGAATTAAAGTTTCGTTTAATAAAGTTATCTTATTCTATTTTTAATAAAATAACATATTCAGGTAATTTTTTGGCTTCAACTAATAAATCAACAATTGGAGTTGAAACACTCTCCTCTGAAACATCAAAGAAATTAGCATTAATAATTACCCCTGCACAGTCTAAGATTTTATTTAATACTTCTATTTCATGAGCCTTGCGATCAAAATCAGCAGGATCTTCAGTGATTTCAGCATCTGGAATTTCTTTTCCATCAGCATCCAATTCCTTTGGTTTAAATCCTTTTAAGTAATATCTATTCAATTATCTATTCTTTTTATTTATTTCTAAATTTTAAATTAAATTAGTTTTCAAATCTAAAACTGGTAATTTATATAATCTATTCAATATTTTCAATTGAGTACGCAAACCACTTCCTCTTACACCAATGAACATAATTCTTGGTTATGGGATTGTTATTTTTGATGGAATATACAATTAGACATTATCTTTAAATATTTATTATTCCTTTTCTCCATAAAATCTATAAACTCTTCCTCTTACTAAAGCAATAAACTCTTCTTTTCCTGGTACTAACCAATTGGTTTTCTATAATGTAACAGGACAATAATTAGCATAATCACCATAAGGAATAGGTTCTTCACCTTCTTGCACATCTGCGGGTGCTCTCACTAAACTTTCATCATCAGCTCGAATATAAAATGGATCCAAAGCCAAACGCACTCTAGACCAAACTTCCTCTCTAGTTCCATCAATAGGGATTTCTTTAACATTCTCCTCTTAATAAGCCTCTTTTAATAATGCAGATAAGGCATTTACTTAAGTTAATTCCTATTCAATTAGAAGGTCAGGATTTCTTTATAATAATAATTGTCCTGCTTCTTCTGATCTATCTTAAAGAATTAGAACCTTATCTATTTTAATCCCCCATAGATTCAATTAATCAATTTATTCTTATGTTTATGGATATCCAATGATCACAATCCCTTTTGGTTTTGATGTTTCAGGGACTTTCAATTCGCTATCCAATAATGGTATGATCTCTTTAGTTGGTACATCTTCAGGAGGTGGAGTGACTGGTTTAACATTCTCTTCCACAACTTCAACGACTTCTTCCTTCTTTTTCTTTGCTTATTACTTTTTAGCTTCTTTCTTTTTCTTTTCTTCATCTTCTTCAGGTGGTTATTCTTCCTCCTCTTTCTTTGGTTCTCCCCACCCTAGAGGTTTTCTTTGTAATGGTATATTTAAGTAATTTAACACCATAGGTAATACATCCTTAATAGCATTTCCTTTGTAGAATTCTTTCCATTCAGCTTCTGTTAAATGAATATCATTAACTCTTGGATCAAATGTTGATGCTAAATGTTTAGTTCTTTCTTGTTAAGCCAAAATCTTCTTTCTCACTATATCCTCGACATCAACCAATGTCCATCCATAATACTCAGCTAATTGACTAGCCACAGTATTCTTGCCAGAACACTTAGGACCTTAAACTGATACAATATAGGTTTTTGGCAATTATGGAGGTTTACTTAAATATTTTCTAGGATAATTGATGAATTTATTTTAATTTTCTTCATTATCAAACAAAAACACTCTGCCTGCATATTCGCAAGCAAATTCTGCCTTACCTGGTATAATCTTATCTTTTAACACCAATTCGACTGCATCAACCTATTACCATTAGGACCACATTCTGTAAACCTTTTCATCAGTTAAATTCAATCCTAACAAGTCCTTCTCTGAGCCACCTTCTAATTTAATAGCTAGGGGCCTTAAAGGTTACCCTTTCAAAATTTAAGCAGATACGCGATCAACTAATTATTATGTTGTCAAACCAGCAGATTGAAGTGTAATAATATGTTGATCTGGTAAATGATCATATAATGACTATAATTTCTCTTATGATTTTTAAAAACTTTGTAGTGATTCTAATAAAAATTCTTAATCTAAAGGTCTATAAAATAGATCCTTTTCTGGTATAATAGGTGGTTTCTCCTCATCGTCTGGATTGTCTCCCTAATCTTCTTCGTCTGGATCATTTGGATCTTTATATTTTATCTTAGGTCTCTTTTATTCTTCTCTATCATATTATGAAGATGCCACTAAATCATCTTGTTTTTCCATTATTCTAGCTGCAAAATACAAAACATCTTCATCTGATTATTCTAAATTAACAACATGCGTGAAATATCTACAACCTATTTTTGGTAATATCATTTTGTTAGATAGTATTGAATTAACCCAAAATTGATTCTCCAAAGGTAGATCTAAGATATACCCTTTATTTTTAGGTAAATCCTATTATAATTCAACATTAAATAACTATTCTAATTGTTCTTGAGTCAATTCTCTTCCAAATTTTAATGAATCAATTACTTCTCTCTCCAAAGGGTTCAAAAATTCTTTTGGATTTCCCTCCTCATCCATTTAAGGATTATTTTCATTTTCTGCTACTTTGGCATAAATTCTTTGAATTCCCTTTTCTAAATCTAGGTATTCTAAATCAAGTTATTTAGCCAATGCCTTAGCAAATGTGCTCCTACCACTTCTAGGTTTCCCAATCAAGAATATTTAAGGAGGTGCTTGGTTTGCGTATTCAATAACATCATCTTCATAAGGATTCTTACTATCAATCGGTAATTATCCTTTTGGTGATATGAATTTACTCAGATATGATTGAAATGATGGTAATTATACATTTGATTATTGTTCTTAAATAATTTCTAAAGCTGGCTACAATTATTATGAATCCTTTGTTTGATTTAAATCACCTAAAAAGGTTCTGAGAATTTAGGGAATATTCTTTGCTTATCTTTTATCAGGATTTGATGACTTTGAAATATCAAAGGTTTATAATTAAGAAGTTAACAATTATCTTTTAGCTGAGACAATCTTTCTCTCCCATTTCTTATTTACTTTGTTTATTTAATCAATTCTGTAATCTTCCTCTGTAAAGAATTCACTTTTGATATTGATCAATAATGGTTTTTCCTCCTAACTTTTTAATGGGAATTAAGACCACTATATATCTCTCGTTATCAATTTACTTAATTTATAAAATTGAGAATGAAATCCATAAGAATCGTCATTCTACTCTATTATATATTGCAATCCTATCTCTGGAACTAGTTGACTATTAGGTAATGCCAATAAAAATGTTTCAGTAACATTCCCAATCAGCTTTATTTCCTTAGCAAATGCATATTAAGCAGATGTATAATGTTGATATTCGGATTGTTGGCACTTATTATTCATCAAAGTAAATATCATGCATTCACAACTCAATCCAATAGGAATAATTTCATTTAGAGGTGCCAATCTATATTTGATTATTCTACTTGGAATCACATTAGCACTCTATAATTATTCTTCATTATAGATGTACTATTCGGTATAATAGATTGGGAAGAAGGACTTTTTGGAGTCACTTTTCAAACTCTATTCAACTCGATCGGAATTATGTATTTTTACAAGAATATGATAATCTACATCTTACTTTGTATTGTCTAATAATCATAAGAAGCCAATACCTTTTACATCTATCAACTACCGACGATATATACGAGCATGAATTGTTTTCAAAAGGTAAATGGCAGAACTCAAATCAGGTTGAATAATCAGTTAAAACAACAATTAAGTTATTGCATCTACAAACACTTGATAACACAAGTATTCAGGAAGATTTGGATCCAAATCTGTCATCGATTCTAAATACTATTATGATAACTGTTTCAGACTTTCATCTGGTAAACATATTACACACTTCATTATTGCTGTAATCACCTATGATAACAATAGAAATTTACCTCTAACAACTCGGTTGCCAATACTTTTCCTTATGGATTCTTTCCAATCTAATCCCAATATTTTAGCAAATTCTTTTGATATTCTAAATTTTGAGATAAGCTCACAATAAATTTCACACTCAAATTATCTCCTCTCTATAGTCGATCTGCATTTTATAACAATCAAACATTTACTTTTGTAGAAGAGTGGATTTTACATATTATTTTTTATTAATTTAATATTTATTAGGGCGGAGGCTAACTCAAGGCTTAAAAATTTCATCATATCAAAGAGCCAACAAAAATTACCCCAAAACTAAACTCTAGAATCACATTATTAATTCTTAATTAACAAACCAATTACGAGAGCCCTTTAGAATACCTAAATTATGATGTAAACCTGCGATCTAAACTCTTTTACAATTTGTCTCAAATTATCTATGTATAACTCATTATACGTTAAATTTAACATGAGATATATCAAAAAGCCTGAAATATTATAAAATGATGTTAAATTTTATCACTTCAAATATGGTTTGAATAACCTGAAATGTTGACCTTGTATTTGGAATAAAACTTAAGATAACTAACAAAGTGAGTATTCTGTAATATCTTGTGAGAATATTGGCTAACTACCATATATAACTCTTACTTAGTAATACTATATCTTAGAGATACTGGCACAATTGTTAAGAATGTTCACTTTGATCAAAAAAATATCAATTTTGTCTAAGATATCAATTAAATAATCAAAATTACTCTTAAAGTCAAGATAGTAATTAAAGTGATTGGGCCAATACTAAAAAACACTCTCATGTAATAAATTGGAGATCTGGAACTGAGATTTAATCCTTATCAAATAGTTCTAAATTTAATATGAAATTAGATTAGATATAGAATAGAAAATTTATATTATTTTAATAAGATGTTTGCAATACATGAAATACCATAACAAAAATGAATTACAATTTGATATTTAATCCTAAAAAAAATTTTTTAATTTATTTCGCAATTTTCTTGAATCATTTGATATAGCGCCTTTCATTATCATCAATTATTTCAAAAATATAAAATAATTGAATTGCTATCCTTATGTTTAATAATATACAATACTAAGAGGAACTTTTATTGGGATATTGTCAATCTAACTTTTCCTTAATGAAAAAACTTCTGCTTTTAAACTAAGATTGAACATTCAATTTTTATTTCTTCTAGTATTATTAATTAATTACCTAATGAATGGAAAAAAGTAAAAGAAGTTGATCACTGAAGAGTTAACATGGGAACAACTTGTAATCTGTGGTATTGTTTTCTTTGATAAAAGGGAATCAATCATATGAATCAGGCAGAACTGATGAAGCTTTACTAGAATATGATAAGGCTCTTATCCTAAATCCAAATAATTCATTAATATATCATAACAGAGGTTCAGAAATTTAGTACCTTTACTAGGGATTTTGTATTATAACATGGAGAAAAATGAAGAGGCATTGCTCGATTATAATAAGGCCATTGAATTAAATTCATAAGATTCAAAAATATATAATAATAGAGGTAAAAACATTTCAATATATTTAGGGAACTTATATTCAGATTTGGGGAGATCGGACGATGCATTAAACGATTTCAATTAGGCCATCAAATTAGACCCAAACTTTTCAGATGCATATAATAGCAGAGGTAATTAAAATAACAATAAATATAGCGATGCTCTATGTTGACTTAGGAAAAAATGATTAGGCTCTTATTGATTTTGGCCAAGCTATAAAATTAAAAGCTTAATCAAATATATTGAAAAATAGAGGTTTTATATCATGAATTATTTAAGGAATCCTTTTATTTAATTTAAATCAATTTGATGAAGCTCTGAAAGACTTTAATGAAGCCATAAATCTTACTCAAAATGATTCCACTTTATACCTTAATGCTGGTCTCAATTTATTTAATCTTCTTAGCTATAATTTTATAAGCATAAAATAAAAATCAAGAAGCTTTGGAGCATTATAATTTATCAATTAAATTAAACACTAATGATTAACGGGCTTATAAAAGCAGAGGTAAGTTAATATTGAATATTCAAAGCAATGCTTTACTCGAATTTAGGAGAAGTCTAATTAGCTGTATCTGATCTTTCTAAAGCAATATTGCTAAAATCAGATGACTTTAATGCTTACTATCATAGAGGCAAGCTTATTATAGTATATTATAGCAAACTAGTATTGGAAACAAAAATAATTAAATTTAGCTTTATAGGATTTTAACTAATCTATTAGGCTCAATCCTAAATATTAAAATGCATATGATTGTAGGGGTAATAATGATCGCTCATGAATAGGCTGCTTATTTCTAGAATTGGGTGAGAACAACAAAGCTGAATCAGATTTCAGCAAGTCTATTGAATTGAATACAAGAAGTTCCAATTCATACAATAATCTTGGTTAGCAAATATCTAATTTTAGGAAATTTTTTCGTAAGCATAGGCAATTATTAAGAAGCATTAAAAAATTATTAATAAGCTATATAGCTCGATGCCTATAATTCCATTTATTTGATCAATCTCGGTTAACTGCACCTTAAGTTGAATGATTTTTAATAAGCTTTTATCTTTTTTTTACAAGCAAATTCGCATTTAGATGTTAATAAGCAGGTATAACTTTCAAGCATTCGAGAAATAATTGAAAAAATGCTTCAAATTTTACTTGAAATTTTTACTGAAATTGAAAAGGAGAATAAATTAATAATAACCTAGCCCTTAGAATTTCAAGTCAAATTAGATTCTATTAATGAAATCAAGTAAATAGAAATTAGTGTTGAAAATTAGTTAAAAATAATTCTCTAACCAATATCTCTTTAGTCAAAATAACATTAATTTAGTCAGCAAGTTGAATAACTGCAAGAAATATTAGTAGATACTCGAATAAAATTCTCATTGATTCATTAATCGCTTAAAAAAGAATAATTAGTAGATGCAAATTAAGAATAATAATTAGATACAAATTAAGATTAACAATTAAATCAATAATAATTGCCAAATATTAATATTGCTACAATTCAGTCAGGAATCACTAATTTAAAAGAATAAAACAATAATCAATATTTTTATTTCAAATCCTTATGTTACAATCTCATCTCTTTTATGTAATTTTGTTTCGAAATTTAAAAAACCAATAAAATCCTTCCACAAAGCTCTATCGAAAAGCAAAACTTAATTCCAAATCCATTCTGCACATTTAAAGAAGAAGAGTGTATATCCAATATTGATTAAAAGGAATCTCTCATTGAAACAATTTGTGAAGCGCTTGGTTACTAAGACAATTTTAAATAAACAATTATTAACAGAAACTTTGCTTAGTTGTACTATATTGAGAATAATTATTCTGAAAATTTAGAGATAGAATTTCATCTTCTTGCGATTGATTTAGCAACAAAATAAGAGGGAGTTCCTGAAATAAACTCATATTTTGATTTAGTAGAGAAAATATCAAAAATTTAAATGAAGAATCTGCAAATTACTTCAAACATATTTTGGAAAAAAGGAATATTAGATTCCATAAAAATCATATAATTTATCGATAATAATATCAATAGGATTATTTCAGATGGGTTGTAGTACTTAAGAATGTGGAAGGAAGATTGTGCAAATGAGGAGGTTGTTGTGATTCATTAATCTCTAGCCGAGCAGCTGATGGCTGAGACACCAGTAAATGGGTAGCCAACTTACTGTTCTTTTTGTTCAATTTCATGATTAATAAATTGATAATTTATTAATGATAAAAATAAAAAATGGATATTTTCATTAATTAACTTTATATTCAAATATTAGAAAAATAATTTTATTGCTTTTTTATATTTAATAAATTGTAACTTAAGAGAGTTTATATGATTAAAATTTAAATAAATATATAATAGAATTTGCTTATCTTCATTCAAACAGCATAATTTATATTTTGTAATATGAAATTTATATAACCTGTCTGTAGAAATTCAATGAATACTCTAGTTAGGATTTGGAAACCTTTCATAATACAACAAGAAAATTAAACTTGAAGGAAAGCGTATGACCTGGTTACATGAATGATCAAAAAATATCGTCAATAAAAATAGATTTTATATGTGAATTAACCTAGCTTAGTTCTTTGGCCATAATTATTGGTGATAAAAACTGAGTAACAAATTTTGTAAATTAAACATATAAGGTTATTTCGTGTTTCACAAGTAAATGTTGGCACTAGAGGTTAGTAAGATAAATAAAGAGAAAATATAAAATAATAGCCTGAAATGCCTACAAATTTTATACATGACTTTACAGGCTAATACTTCTAAATTTATATCCTTCGACATTGGGTTTGTCGGAATATTTATTATTTATAGTTGTTAGAATAAGGATTTAAGTTTTTGAATATTCTGGTCTTGAATTTAATCAAGTTTATTTTGTTGTGTCTAACGATTAGGGACATTTTTTTGTGCTGGAATATATTCTCTAACTCATTCAACTCTTTTTCTAAACTCTTGGATTCTAGGGGTAACTATTTTATTTGCTGAAGTAACTGTCTATATTAAATCGAAATGTAAATAAATTCATTAAATCTACTTTAAGACTAATAATACTAACAACTCTGATTGAATCTTTAAATGAGTTTCGTTTTATATGTAGAATATCAGAATAGTTTTTAATTCTATTTAATTAAGGAATTAACATACGCAACCTTGATATTTTTTTGTGTCTTTGTTTGAGAATATTTCTTTCAATTATTAATTTTTGAATATCGAGCAAATATTAACACAGAATCATTTCATTGAGTAAAAATACAACATTATTTTGGAAAGTTCATTTATAATTCAAATAATTTAACAATAATTTCCGATTTCCTCTAACTTCAAAGTCAGTATTAAAAGTTTTTATTCAATTATTACTTATTGATTAATATTTATGAATATCTGCTGAATTTTAACAAGTGACATTACTATCTCCATCTGATATTGAAATAAATTTATCAAATTTAAAAAATATTAATAATAATGCATTCTAACAATTTTACATTTTTGACTACCCAAAAATTTTTATTTTAGCAATTTTGCTTGTTTTACAATAATATGTACAATTACTTGATTCAAAAATTTTCAATATCAAATAATTTTTCACTAAATACTAAAATTTCATTCCTTTAATTCTTTTTTAATTATATCACTTATTTAAAACTTAATATTTTTTTACTTGATAAATATTAATGATTATTTTTATTGCATTAGTGCAAATTACTTTTTAAAATGTGATCTATAATTTTGATGCGAATTTGGAAGAAAAGGATGGTATTTTTGCAAAGCTATCAATTAGAATGGTCAAGCAACTTGCAATTTGTGTCATGTAGTTCGTATTAGTTTTTGGGGTCCTGTTGTGAGATGTCTGTAATTAGTAGATTGTTTTTAAATCTAGAGACTCATTATGTAATTAAAATGGAGGGTTATTTTCTAAGGTAGTGATATTTATTAATTTCAAAAGATAAGAAGTAGATGATGAATTTTTATTCTTTCTTGATGGTTATTAGTTAGAAGTTATATTGATAAGCGATTTAGAGGTAAATAGCGATTGTGGGAGGATGATGCTATCAAATATTTCAATTATTCATTAGCATAACAGAAGGACAAGCTTAATTTAAATAATCCAACCTGCAGGAGGAATTATGAAACTATAAATAAGTATACTGAATTGTTAGGAAGAATGCATTGGATGTATTTGGAATTATCCAATTAATTGTGAAAAATGGATTTTGCACTAATATTCATTTGATTAGAAATAGATGACTTATTCTGACGGATGGAATGCTGTTCTTAATTATCATGAGGTAGGATGCGATGGTTGTTAATATTTAAAGTTTAAAGATATTTCTTACTCAACCCAAATACCATCTCATTAAGATATATTAATCAGGTTTTATAAAAGGTCATTGAATTCTCTTATATTGAACTATATGTATGGAGAAGTATGGATTGCTTTTGGTGAATATGTCGTTGAAATTTTTTTATAAAATTACCCAACTGAGATTTTGAACCTGAATATAAAATCAGAAGATATTACTCAAGAAAGTTTGATTAGAGATTTTGAAATATATTGCACAGTGCCAGAAACCCACATTTTAGATCTAAATTAAGGCTGTTAAGACTAGATAGGAGATCGATGTCTCAATTGCGAAGATGGTTGGGTTTTAGATGAATTTAAATAAAGTTGCAGTCCTATCTGTGGGGATATGATCATCAATGGGGATGAAGAATGCGATGATGGAAATTTGATATCTTATGATGGTTGTTTTTAATGCAAACATTAATGTATTGATTCTTGCAAAACTTGCATTTTAGGAATTTGTAAACAATGTCTAGAGGGCTTTGTTCTTAATTCAAATAATGATTGCGATCCGTAATGTGGAGATGGCATTGTGATTCCTTACTCAAATGAATAATGTGATATTAAAGAGGATGAAGATTAGGGTGGTTGTTAAAATTGTAAATATCCATCAATACCTAATTGTAAACAAGAATTTTTTTCTATTTGTTTAGAGTGTGAAGATGGGTTTTTCTTTTTAATTGATTAATGCTACCCTAATTGTGATAAAATTAACTTTCTTGAATAAATTGAAAATTGTGATTGCATATAGGATGGTATTATTTTTCATCCAAGAAAATGTAGGTTGGAATGTGAATAAGGATACGAGTTTATTGATTATAGTTGTCATTCTGTTTGTGGAGATGGATTGGTTTAAGAATAAGAGGAATGTGATGATGGTAATGAATAAGTTGGCGATGGTTGCTTGAAATGTGAAATCGAAAAAAATTGGGTTTGTAACTCAATAATGAAAAATTCTCCTAGCTAATGTATACTTGTAAAGGCTCCTCATTTAATAATTAATTACCTCAATATGACTTAAAATAAATAGTACATAAGCATTAGATTTAACGAATAGGTTAAAGTCAATACTACTAAGCTTCTATCTAATACTATTTCATTTAAATTAATTAACATAGACAATTAAAATTGGAGAAGCAGCTTTTAAATTAAATAAGATGTAGGATCTTACGTGACTTTTGGAGAGTATGTTCTAGAGATAGAAGTGCTTTAATTACTTGATTTTAGACCGACCTTGCAAATCGAATTAAATCAATCGGTTTCTAATATTATTAATGCTGAATTAGAGGATTATACAAAATTTCTAACTTTAGATTATCCAAAATATCTAAATGAATAGCAAATGAATTATTCATAAAAATTGAAAAATACTAATATTTACCTAATTTACGCATTGTCTGCAATTACTGCACTAAGTTTATTATTTGGTACTGGAGATCTTTTTGTTGAAGTCCTGGCAATTTTATAATATTTATAATACTTAAGATACATAAATCTAAAATATCCCTAAAACCTAGAAATATATTTTTCTATTAATGATTTATTATCAATCGAGCCATTACTAAATTTTATTCATTTTGATTTTTTCTTTAAGTTTATTAATATCTAAACGGACTAAGAATATTCAGAAGGAAAAATTAAATAAAATTCTAATTTGATAATTAACCTTTCATCTCAAATAATTTAATGCGCTATTTTTTTACTTCTATTTTTAATTTCAAAATGGATTAAAAAAGTGATTTACAATTGGATATTTTGCACTGGATACTTTGAATGCATGTCATCCTTATCTAAATATATGAGCCCAACCATAATGACTAAGTTTAGTTAACTATTTTATGATAATTGCTTAAATATAATTGAGTTAGAGCATTATATTTCCTTTTCAGGATTATAAAAAGCATTATTACTTAATGGTTGGGATATGATATTTAAAATATTATTGTATACTAGAAACATTTAAATTAATAATTATTTAGATATTAGCCAGATAATAATAGTAATCATAATACTAATCTTATATTTTGTAGTAATATTGAATAATTTCGGAGGTAGAGTACCGAAATAATAACCCTAAAAACAGAGAATTTTTGAAATTCTTAATTTTGTTAGGTAATTCCTATTTTTATTATTTTTGATATATATATAAAGTTCGCAACTGCTTTAACTAGGATTGCTTCTTTTAACAAATATTTTTGAGATTAACATAATATTTAATTATCGTTATATCTTCAATAAATAAAAATATATTGTATAAATGGTAATTGAGATATCAGTATTGATATTTATGCTTAGTTCATTCTTCTACATTGAAGAGTTTAATTAATACATTAATGAAGCTTAAAAGATATTATTAGGATGGTTCTAGGCAATCTTATTATCCTCAGGAATTATAATTGAATTGCTGATGGTTATATATAAGTCTAACATTATAATAAGATAAAAATGCATAAACAAATAATCGATTAAATAGTAATCAATAACTAAAAATCATGTAGAGGAATAAACGGTCTGGCAGAATAAAAAGATTTTAATCAAATTTTGATAAATCTTCATGAATTTTAAATTTACATACTTATTACATAAAACATTAAATTATTAATTGATAAGCTTATGTAATACTCGAAGCATTTGTTTAAGTATAGAAGTTAGCCATAGATCTTATATTTACTTTTGAATCTTTATTAAGTAAATTAGTCTTTATAAATTTATAGATAATCTCAAATATCAAATACGAACAATATTCAGAAGCAAACCATAATAAAGTTTATAACATCTGATCTCAATATTGTCATCACAAATGTTGATTATTGATTTAAAAAGTCTTAGGAACAAGATATTGTATCGATTTCATCAACACACTATTTTTTATTAAAAATAACTTTAATGAGATGGTTGAGCAAGCATTACTTGTATTACTCAAATTTTTAGGAGCATCTGATAGATTCCAATTAATTATTTAATAATCGTCCAATTAGATGAAACAATTAAAACTGAAGAAAAAAAAGATATTTTCAGGTTTTAATTAACAGGATTGTTGCTCATGGAGGCACTATTAATTCATGTGCAGCAGAAATCGCCTTTTAATAAATGAAGGAAAGAAAACACAGAAATAACGTTACTTCAATATTTTTATTAACAGATGGTTTAGACTATTCTGCATATTCTTAAATTAAATCTCAAGTTAATTCAAATTGAAAATGTTTTTAACCACCTTTTCAAGATTTGAAAATAGCCAAAACTTTTGGAAAAATGTGGGAAAAATAGTTTATAAATATCAAATCCTTATTCATACTCCCTTAAATTTATATTTTAATTTATGAAGATTAAAAACATTGAATTTCTTTTAAGCGAAACTTACAATCACTGATCCCCTGAGTTAACAAGAGATTGAAAGAAGGGAGATTCTTGAATTGGTTATTCTTAATGAAAATGAGGAATTTAACTAAAATACTACTGATACCGATGTCAATTATATAGAATAGCTTAGTATTAAAATCTTTGTTTAAATCGGATGATGTAAAAACTTCCAAAAAGAAAGTTCAAGATAATTAAAAACCAGAATGATCTTTTGAGAAATACACATGTATGTATATTAATATAATATAAGAGCATCAAATATATTATTTATTTTTTTTACTTCTATTTTTATTTTAAGACACTAGTATTCAAATGATGCAAATTCATAATTGAACTGAAGAAGGCAATCCTCAACCTCACTTTAGGGATTGTACTTACTTTTCCTCAGTTACGGATCTCTGAGGATAAACCCATATCAATGTTTCTTTCTAAAAAAGGTCGCTGAAAAACAGAAAAAAATATGGTGGCACATCATCTTTCATATTAAAAATAAGCTATAAAATATTTTATAAATAAATTCTAGATAAAAAGGTAATAGTGAATATTAAATAAAATCAGAAATAAAACATAAGTACAATTAATTCATATATTTAAAATTTCATAAGTCTAATACTTTTCTTTCTTCCGATCCCAAAATACTAAATACTCTCCATTATTGGTCATGCTTCCAAAAACTTATTTTACTTAACAATTCAATTATTTATAAACTTTAAGAGTACCATCGATTAATTATCTAAAGAAATAGATATGATATTTATGTCTTATCAACAATATATTTTTTTCTAAATTATGTACGATTGAAAAATTCATATCATCTTCGCTTTTATTATTCTTAGTTAATTTGATAGTTTTATTAGCATTTTATTAAAAAACCCCTCTCTATAATTCAAATACTAAAATATCATCAATATCTGCATCCATAGTTACCCAAATTAGAAGTTAATCATTTATTAAATGTATTTTATACCCTTTATTAGCAACTGATTATTTATATTGAAATTCCCATTTTCCTGAGAGTCCTTATTCCCATACTATGAATTCATCAAATCCACAGGACACCAATTAAGTTTCATTTGAATTAAACGATAATGACTCTACACTGTTTTCATGGTTATTTAAGGTATAAAGAAAAGTCAGCTGATTCTTCATGAAATCTACTTTCCAAACATTTATATATTTATCACAACTTCCTGAAATAACTTAATCCTCCTCTTTATTTAACATTAAACAATTAACTCCTTCAAGATGATTTTAATATGGCTATGAATACTTCCACTCATGTTTATTAATCTATTACCAACAGATGAGAGTGTGATCTATAGAACCAGAAATAAATGAATTTCTGAGTTTGCTATACACTAAACATCTAACAGTCTCTTGGTGTTATGAATAAGTGTTAATTAATTTTAATTTTCCTTTTTCAATGTTCCAAATTTAAATCTTTGGACTCTCACAAGATACCATAATTGATCCTGTTTTATCAAACACTATTGCAAAACAATACCCACTTGATTAATTTGAATTATCAATTTATTTAAGTTCAATTTTTTTAGCTATCATCTATTATTATTATTCTAGTTATTCCTATTAAATGGCAATTTAATTCATTTCCTATTGTCTCTTAGCATCACATCTTTAGTTTCCTTAATGTTATATACTTTTCAATAATTCCTCGCATTATTTGGTTTCTTAAAATGATTTAAAAAATGTTAACGTCGTATTGATCTTCGAACTTTTTGACTAATTTTATTTGTGTATTTGTTCAATAAGAGATTCCTGATTGAATTAATCATTATTTTTTTAAATAATTAATTTTTCTAATTCATCAAAAAAGCTATATGTGGCATTTTATTCTCCATATTTCAACACTTCTTAAATCCATTAATCTACAAACCCCATTAATTTTTCTATATTTTGAGCAACTTTATTTTTTAATTCAATTAGAACCAACCTAATTTATTCAATATAATTGATATTGATTCTTACAACATTCTCAACATATAATTTTCTTTGATTTTAATTTGCTTCAATTTTTTCTTTAACTTATTTAAATATTTTAAAAGACTCATTTGATTCTACACTGTCTATGCATATTCTGCATAATAGTCTTTACTTCTTATTTAGTCTTGGGTCACTAGATACCATAAAGTTTGGCTCCTTATGAATAGCACATTAAAGAATTTCCTCTTCTTTTTCGGTCATTCTTGAAGTAATCATTTCTTAAATAAAAAGGGAGATTTAATATATAAATTGACACTCTTAGAGTGATTTAGAATTTAATTTAATATTTAATACCAGAGAACTTATGCCTCATTTAATAAATTAGTGCTAAAACAAAAAAAATTTAGAATCTTAGACAATCTTACAAATTTCAGTGACGAACTCGGACTGATATCTTAAGGCTAGTCTATGCTACCTAGAATCAAGGGAGACCTAGCAATTAACAGATAAGGAGACCTAAAAGATCTTAAAACATAGGAACGCTGAAAGTTAATCATCCTCAACCTTATTCTGATCATTGATATCGCTACTATTACCGAAGAAAGCAATAATGGTGTAAGCCGAGAACACGACGGC